TGAACCTCTTCTTTGCTAGTCCCTCTGGAATCCGGTTAGCTCGACGTTTCCCAACGGTCCTCAGCTTAGATTGCACATATAAGACCAACCGTTTCAACCTCCCCCTATTACACATTGTCGGGACGACAAATACACATCGCTCTTTTACCGTCGCAATGTGTTTTTTGAACAACGAAAAACAGGATCAATACAAATGGGCCTTATCCCAACTTAAAGAAGTTTGTTTTCAAAATTCGCACAGATCCAACGACTTCAAGTCACCTGAGACTTTTGCAACAGATGCTGAACCTGCGCTCTACAACGCTATTGCGCAGGTATTTCCCGAGTCAACGCACATTCTATGTGTATGGCACATCAACATCAACGTGGCGAAAAATTGCAAGAGCAAGTTTTCAGAACCAGAGTGGACTGAGTTCATGAAACTTTGGAATACATTTATCTCATCATCTACACAGGAGTCTTATGATACTAACCTTCAGGCTGTCAGCAAGGTTGCCCAAGCGCATGATGTTTATGGTTATTTGGAAAGTACTTGGCTAGGTTGTACGGAAAAGTTTGTCAACTTATTCACTTCAAAAACTCACCACTTCGGTAATTCTTCGACCTCACGTGTTGAAGGCAGCCATTTCCGAGCCAAACGATTCCTTGATGGTCGCAATAACGATTTCCTGACCTGCTTCAATGCCTTCAAACGGTTTGAGGACCATCAAACCAACGAAATCATGGTTTCGGTGGGGATTGAAAAGACCAAGACGCTTCAAGGCCTTCCAGATTTCTTCAAAGACTTAAACGGCGTTGTATCTCATTTTGCCCTCAAAAAGCTAAAACTTCAATACGACTTGTTGCCCAACTCCCTTCAACAACCATGCACCAACACTTTTCGAGGGGCCTGGGGGCTCCCTTGTTCACATGATCTAGCTGAAGCGCGAGAAAAAATGGATCATCTGTCGCCTGACTTGATACATGTCCAGTGGAAGCTACAAATGGACATTGCCCCCGATACTCACGAAGGACTTATCGCCGCGTCACGTGTCAAGTTTGATCAATTACTTCAGTTAAATGAACATTATCTTCGGAAGCTATATAACGAAATCATTCTGCTCGAGACTGGACAATATTCTATCATCCCAATCATGAACGCTGAGGTCAAAACGGATACTCGAGGTCGACCTCGAGCTTCTTTCGCCAAAGGTTCCAAAGCAAAACGCCTAGCCTCACCTGATGGGCGATGGAAATCGGACCTGGAGCTTGATGAGGCTGCGAAACGTCCTCGGGTCAGCAAATGCAGCCTTTGCTTGACTCCCGGTCACAATATTACAACCTGTCCTCTTCGAGCAAGTCAAACTTCGACAAATCGTGTTGGTTCAAGTTCAAAACGGGTTTCGAACAAGTCAATTACAAAAGAAGAAGCCTTGCTTGATGATTCCGAACCCGAAGCTGAGGAAGAAGCTTTACCCGAAGCTGAGGAAGAAGCTTTACCCGAAGCTGAGGAAGAAGCTTTGCTCAATGATTTCTATGACATGGTTGAAGCGCAGGAGAGGGAGGATGTAGTGGGCGCTGATGACATCAGTGACTCGGATTCAGAAGGACTAGATGGTCAAGATCAAGATGCCCAAGATGAAGGACTCTGTGAATTCTGCGAGGATCCCCTCCCCGAAGCGCCTTCCAAAAATCTTACCGATTTGAAGGCTCTTCTCTTGGCAATTCCAATCAGCGGGGGCAAGTCTTTGTCGGTGAGTTTTTGGTTTGGTTTTGCTCGCTCGTGCCTTACCTCATGCTCATGCAGGTTATTTTGCGCAGTGGACCCAAACCGCTGAGTATTGTGAATTACATCGGGCAGAATGTGAGACCATTCCACACGGAGTGAGCAAAGGATGGCCTACTATTATCGATTTTGATAATTTGCACAAGTAAGTACCATACATTAATCTTTGTATGATGTATGACGTACCTTTGACTAACTCTTATCCTTCATTTGCGCGACAGCCGTATCAAGGAGCATACACATCTATTGAGCAACATTATCAACCAAACTGAACCTTCGCCTTACTTGGATTACGCCATGAAAAAGAAACGTAATAGCAAGAGTATTGATACTCTGTCAAATATGCTTAACATTGAGGTTGAGCTCCCGGGATGATGAGTACCCTACCCATGCTTGCTCCTTTGCTTATAGGACTAAATAGAGTCAATTTTTGCTTTGTCCCAATAGTTACGGATATCAAGGGTATGAAGTGTTTGTAAGAACCCTAGAGAACATCTTCATCAATGATCAAATGTCACCACATCATCTCGGTTTGCATCAAGCTGCACCTCTCACTCCCGATTCCTTAATTCGACAAGTCCTGATTCCCGAAGTGGCGATATGTTTGATTGCTGAAGATCTGAACTTGGACCGAAGGGATCCGCAAGTCAAGGAGACGTTGGAATCAAGCCGAAAGTATGGAGTTGCAGTTTTTCCAATGCCAGCTGAAATGTATGAGATGAATGGCACCTCGCTTAATCACAATCACCGGCTTACAAAGAAGCCCGCACCAGCTACCACCACCTCACTCGTTGCTAACACTTCTCAGCCAATTTCAGCTCGCGCATTAGAAAAGAGCACACTGGTTAAACCAGGCGAACGAAGAATATTGAAACAATTACCTCGTATAGTCATTCCACACATCAAGACTATCTACGATCCACCCCGTTTTGGCAACTGTGGTTTTTACGCAATAGCTAATGCCCTGCGATGTAATAAGGAAGATTCTTATGTATTGGTTCGTCGCCACTTACGCGAAGAACTGCTGGCTCATCGGGAGTCCCATGAACAACTAATCTCGACTGCACCCGGAATGAAGTCTCGGCGTGTGACGACTCGACGTGCTTCACCTGCCGCAGTGGAAATCGTTGAAGATCTTCTTCATCGACTTCAACCCCAAGAGGCTAGATGTGGTGAGGAGTTCTGGATGCGCATGCCTTACACAGGCTACGTCATTGCCAGTGTGTATGAATGCCCTGTCATTCTCTTAAATCCGAAAGAATCGAACTGTTACACCTTTTTCCCGTATCGTACTCCACCCAACAGGAATAATCCAATCCTTTTGGCCTTTGTGGATGGTGATCATTTTGCGAATTTGGGTGGTGGGGTTGGATCAATTCCATTACCGGGAATATACGGTGATATCCTCTCACCTACAATAACTGAGACCGAAATTCCTGATTGGATTAAAAAGTATCGAGTGCAGTTAGATATGTGGGTTTGTTAGTTGGTCTGTTTCTTTGTGTGACACGTGTTGTTTTCTCTTTTTGCTTTCTCTTTCTTGTGGTAGTGAGTCATGCTTTATGTAGACCAATGCTCTCGGTCATTCTTTTTCTTTTGTTGTGGCTGTCTCGCTTTCTCTCGTATGCCCCATATGGAATCTTGTTCTTGTCTCTCTTTGTAGTGGCTCCTATGCGCTCAACCTATGCCTGCTATGCTATGCTTTCAATATGATATAATAATTTTATGCCAATTACAGTCATCGGTCTTGTGACCAGAACTAGCTAGGTGCTAGGTGTGAGATTTGTACAAGCGAGACAAAGAGGAAGAACGACGTGATAAAAACATCGAAAAAAGGTGTGAGAAGTTATGGACGTGTATGTACCAGCCGGACGGAAAGGAAGAAGGTAATAAATTAAATAATGGGTGCCCCTTTTTGCCCCTTTTTTTTAGAAAGGGGCTCCTCATTTGTTTATAGCCCCGTGTCCGACCCGAAAGAGGGCGCCGGATACGGTTCCGAGGGCGCTAAATAGTGGGATCCTTTTTCATACCCAAAAAAAGATTGATTTTTTTCAAAATCCCGGGTTTCATACGTCTTTCACCCCTACGTTTTGGAGGGTGTTGGTGGTATGGTCAACCAAAATTTGGTTCTCATACCTCCCAGACCTCCACGTTTGGTAACTTGTTTTTAGGTGTGTTAATGAAAATAAAACTTATTTTTTTTGGTCAAAAAATGTAAAAAAAAAACATGAAAATCGAGCTTTGGGGCAACTAGTTGGACGGTTATCAGAAACAATAGGTATTTTATGTATGTACTCATAGTTAATATGTGCTGCACAATGAGATTCATGTTTTTTTAAGATACAAGACTGTGCAACTACAACTTGTCATCACTTGCTGGGTGTTGTGCTTTCTTCTGGGCGCGTAATTGGGCCAAGGCTTCTTCAACACTCTGGATATACGATGTCCGATTCATTTCTTGCAACATCTCCCATACCTTCTGTGGTAGCCAGGCACAGTGCGGTTGAGGCTCGGTGATATTCATCGCATTCGTCTTGGGAAACACATAGTGTATGTGTGGCATCTCTAGATGAGTCAGTATCAGTCTATCAGGAGTTTCTCGGCGGTAACCCATAGCCGAAGGGTGGTTGTCATCGTAAAGGTAAAGCTGTGTTGATATATATGAAATTTTTTCGCGGGTATCACTGGACTTGAGCCATTGGTGACGTCCACTTTTATAAGCATAGATTGCTAAGATCTTTCCAATATAAAGAACCTGCATAACCGTGCAAAGGTAGGTCAGTGGACCCATCGTTACAAGAGGTATAGGATTGACGTACCGAGTCTTTGATAACGACTACCCATTTACCTTCTTCCAATGGATTTTGCTTTGAAACCGTGCCAGATTTATACAAAAGCTGTAAATCTATGTCGAGCTTCGTACTGGTATTTTGGGCCAATCGATTGATGTCCAGTCTGACACAGATGTTCCATCGATGAAGCCGTGCGATTGATTTTTCAAGGCCTTCCACGTCGCGCACCAGGATAGACACCAGCTTGGAACAATCACTGGGGTTTAGTTTAGCTGGAGCACTGTCTGGTTCTTGGTGCGGGTTGTGACGTTTTCGGCGTCGCTCGTTTCCTTTGTTTTTCCGAACTTCACTATCGTGGATTGATCGTATTGAGCATAGGAGTTTATTGTCCAGTACCCGCTTTCCACATGAATCTACCACTAGATTGCGAGTTGATTCAATAACTAAATCCAACTCTGCGGCTGAGTCCTGCGGAGATCGATCAACATGAGGCTCTGGAATACTTGCGTGTCAGCTTGGATTGGTAAGATGAATCATACAAAAAATTACACATGATTTCACCTCACCTTTAGGGTTCAATAGACTTGAAATTGACATTCGATTTGCGTTCAGCTCAACTGATTCAATAGTGACATCATCCAGAGAATCGAGGTCACAGTCAAGATTGTGACGTTCTTGAGTGATACTAGCAGCTGCGTGTAAGCTCGCTCCAAGTTGTGGATCGTTTTCATCTTCTTGATAAACTATATCGTAGCGTTTTGTAATTCCAACCGAAACACTGTGATCTTCATCAATGTGTGATTCATCAGGGTTGTGTTGATGATCCGAGGGGGTAGGTTTAGCACGCGAAACCACCTGCATGCCAGTGAATTCAATCAAGGTCTGGGCACGCTTCTCTGCTAAAGCCATGATACTATGAATCCTCTGGTCGGAAGGAAATATCTTGAGAAGCTTCGCCTGTTCAAGCGAAGCTGGTTCGTCCGAGAAGGAAAGGTTGTAGCCTGTGTAACAGGGAATAACGAATCATGAGCATTATTCAGGGAAATCATTTTTGAAGTACTTCACATACCTGCGTGAATGTGTTCAGATTTGGGCATCTTGATTCTCTTCAACATGATGCGTCTGATGATTGTGAATATCTTGGGCATCATTTGTCGTGCATCAAGCATTGTGAATTTGGGCAAAATCACCCGCATCCAACCAAAGATGTGTTCACACGCCTCAGTTCCATGCTTCCAAGGTACGAAGGGCGCATCTGGGAAGTGCTCGCGATGCGAGATGATCAAAGCAACAAGCGAGGAAGCAAGTTGGCTAAATATTTTCCAAGCCGGGTGAGAAATACCATTTCGATCTAATGACATGAGCCCGTCTGTGTCGTCGTACTGTTCTTTGAGAAAGGCTTTCCAACGCTTTAGAAATACATCGGCTGTATGTGACGATAGGATACGTTCTTCATGTGAAGCAGAGTTGCTGAGCCATGCGTCAACCAATTCACCTATGATAAACAAGTACACAGCGAGTCCAGTACATTCCGGATGTTGCAAAGCAAGTTCAAGTGTATCATTGTTGAGGGATCGATAGGCTCGTCCGTCATCTTGCCTGTCAATGTTAAATACATCCTTTTGATAAAGGGAACTATTTTCGTCCTGCATCAACAATACCATGTGACCTATGTTTATGTAGTATTTACCAAACGCAAGAAGTCGAGCTCCAGATAGCAGTTGATTAGCTCCTGTCTTGCGTGCATGTTTTGGGTCTTGCACAATCACCAGAGGTGTTGGATTGGATCCAAACAGCGGTATTTTGATGTGGATACCTGCTTGAGGTCGAGAAAATTCAATATAGTTGATTGCTTTAGAGGTTAGTAATAGTTGTGCCAACATCTCAGTGGCCGCACCATCCGAGCCAAGTGATAGAACTTTAAGACCGGCGTCTTGCGCGAGATTAAGGAACGACTCGTGCTGTATACAGACATCCTCAGCGGTTTCGTTCTGGTTACTAGGTAAGAGGGCCACAACATAAGTCGGAACACCAGGTAGTGGTACCTGAACAGTATATGCCCGAATCTGTAGAAAGGAATGAATCAATTTCTTTTCATCTGATACGAGCCAATCAAGATAAATGTGATCATAACTTACTTTTGAGCACAGTTTTTTGTGCTCGATCAAGTCTTTAACTTTAGCTGTAAGGTCTTGCATGGACTCAAAGCGAACATCTCCTCCTTGAGAACCTACTACAAACTCTCCACTAACACGAAGGGCTTTAACACACACGGTTTCGTCGGTTCCCACTGCAACAGGTCCATCGTACCCAATATCCTGAAGGTGCTTCTTGACTCGAGCAAAGTTTGATAGCGCCAGACCTTCTGCCATCTGTAAATCTTCATTTGCACGTATGTAGCGGCGGCTTCATGGTCCACGTCCGGCAAGAGCAACCCTGGGCCAGCAACGCAAGTGTTGCGTGCTGCGCTGCGCTTGCGTTGCGGTTTTTCTGACCGCACCGCACCGTAAAATCCATTTTGAAGTTGCGGCCTGACCCGCTGCGCAACAAGATGTGTCCAATTCCAAGTTGTTTTGGGCCGCAACAACATTTGTTGCGTCACTGCCCAAAAAAACTTGAAATTTGACGGTTTTTTGGCGCTGTTGCGCCTTTTGCGTTGCGTGGCGGTCAGCCAACCCAGGCTAACGTTTTGTTGTTGCGGTACTTACCGCAACGCAGCGTCTGCCGCTGGGCTTTGTTGCGTGTTGCGGAGCAACGCACCAAAAAACACGCTTTCTGCGGTGCGGTGCGTTGCTGGCACAGGGTTGGCAAGAGTCTCAGTAAACAAATCTGCACATTTGGGACTTATGACGGCAAGAGTCATTATGAAGTTGTCAAAGTAAGGTTCGAAATGCATTCCAGTAAGTCCCTTGCCTTCGTTTTCCCTCTTTTGACGATTGGTAACAGCCATCAGTAAACCCTTTAGGACATCATTGTCATCGAACTTTCCCTCAAGTGCCATTGCAGTAAAACCTTTCCAGAACTTCTGATCGCCCGACTGTGATGGATTCTCAACATAACTTGATAAAGCATCAAGATGTTCGTATTGTCGACGTTTTGCGTTCAAGAGATCAGGTTCCATCAAAGCTCGGCTAGTATATTTAACACTTTCTCCGACTGAATAGTCTTTGTTTATTGCATTCTTAAGAGTTGAATCCTTTCGTAAATCCCAACAGTGTGTACATACGTCAGGATGCATACCCTGTAGTAAGACTCGAGGGAGAGTACCCAGGCATTTGGTAGAATGGATTGTTTGGAAAGGTGAGCTACGATTAATCCACCATGTCGCTTCGGCTTTGAATTGATTTTGCCAGCGCTGTCTCTGATCATCATTTAGTTTGCTGTGCGCTGAAAAACCAAACATCTCTTTACATATAACTTCTCGAGGCCGACACCCGTGGTAGATATTTGAAGCACCCTTGATACATGCAAGAATGTCTCGTGTCGCCTTCGGTCGCTTCCAGGTCTTGTCATTGATCCCAGCGCATGGAACGAGAGGTTTCGAGATGATAGGCTCTTTGCTTGGGACAAATTTTGAAAAGAATAGGGCCGCAGAAGCAGTCTGTCGTATCTCTCGAGTTGCAGAGGTACATTTCTCTACCAAACAAAATCAGAAACAAAATCAGGTTGAACTTTTCAAGGAGTCTGTAGGAAGATGATAAATTCACGTACTTGATTCCCAGTGAACTTCTGCATTCTGAGCCCGACCTCCATAAAGTTTGATGCCCTTGTGGCCACAATGACACAGAAACTCAAGTCCGTTCTCATCGTCTTTCAGTTTGCATCGTGTACATATCATCTCTCCACTTGTGAGTGGGCAGCCGGTCAACACTGTTGAAACTGGCCTAGTGCCGTGCACCAAAGTCTTTGATTTTGATTTACTCGTGTGATGACTTTGAATTGTAGGAGCTGAATTAGAATTCTTTTTGGTAGACTTCGAGTTTGAAGATTTTGACGGTTTTTGTTTTGCAGAATTTACAATTGAGCAAGATATTATCTCGAGTTCACTAGTATTTTCATCCTCGGCGTCTAAATGGCCAGCAGATGTTGAGGAAGTTGAAGATTTTGACGGTTTTAGTTTTGCAGAAGTTACGATAGAGCAAGATAGTATTTCGATGTCGGGAGTATTTTCATTATTGGTATTCAAATGATCGGATCTTGATGATTTCGACTCGATTTGTAACCGCTTGGCTGGAGGGGATACACCCTTTATGTCAACTATTTTGATTGGTGAAACAATTGTCTCCGAGATCACTCGTCGCTTTTTTCCCTTTGTGGCCTTAGGACTAGGTGTACGATGATGATCCGGTTCAGGCAGAAGGGCTCCATTTTCTGAAGGTTTCAATCATGTCAATACTGATAAATATTAGAAGGTTAATCAAGACTCACCAATCAATTTTTTACGAATCTTTTCAAGTTTGACATTGAGAAGTAGATCCGAATTTTTGTCCCACGTTACATGCTCTCGTGCTTTGTCAAGCCATCTCAGCACATACTCCATCCCATAGCGACCAGAGAAAAGGTGTTTATCTATCACGTCTTCACCAAAAAGCGCGTCCATAGCGCTGTTCACACACCAGTACATCCCTTCATCAAGGTCTGATTTGTCGAGTTGGGGAGGGTTTGCAAACCTCGTGTAGGTGTGATCGTCAGTGGTAGCAGGGCGTAGAAAGTCGCAGTTGTTTGCTAGATGCAAAATATCAGATTTCAATTCCCCGTAAGACCGCATGATTAACAGTTTGGTGAGGGTTTGCTGGGTTTTTTGAGGTTTGTACGGGTTTGTTCAAGATTTTCAAAGTTTTTCACATTCGTATCACCACTACCACCACATCGTAAAATACATACAAAATAGATCAAATTCATACCTGTGTGACACCTATGTCAAATTTCACAGATTTTGAACATGCTAAAATTCATACATACACACAACCACCCTTTTTTGGAAAAAATGAAATTCATACGTGTCAGGCCCCCATGTCCATTTTTTTTTCCTCAAAAATTCATACCTCCCCGGTCCACCAGTTTGGGCGGGGTTTGCCGGGGTCCTGTTTTTACTGCCTGCCTCCACTTCCCTACCTAATCAATGAGCTACCATACCACAGATTGACCACCAGAACTGGTGGGGACAATAAGACACAAATCAATAAAATACCTTTTGGAAAACTGTATTGCTTCCATCCTCTCTGTTCAACTCTTGATACTCAAAATTTCTGATTCCCAATTGCACACATCCAAGTCAAATTGGTTAAATCCTGAGAGCCAGCCTCCCCACCCTGACCCTGCTCATCTACTTATGTAGCTGCTGCAAAAGTTGAGCTAAATGAATTAGCAACACTGAATTTGAACCATGTAGATAAATTGTTGTAGAAGTACAAGAATATTCAACGGAGCAGATCTCCCTTGATCTTAACTCAAAGTCCTTAATCATCAAACAGTGAGGGCTTCTGTGCGTGCTGCTTACAGAGATTGTATCAAGTCTCATTTGGGAAAGATAAATGCAAAGGATTGGGTACCCATTAGCTGACACGTTTCACGACTGCTGATTTTGAGAGGTCCCCCCCAAGGATCCGGTTGAGAAATTTTCACCAATGTACACGTAAGATTCCCTCTCATAATCACATCAACTATATACACTTTTTCCATCATGAATAATTCGCGGTTATTTCTCCTGGGCAAAACCCTGTACCTATCCTACATCCCCTTTTTTTGTCTGGCATTTCATGATCTCGGAACAAAAGTCTCTGGAGGAAAAGCAACCAGAGGACGATTCTATGATCCGTTCGGGAGTCCTTCTCTCTTTCCACAATCATCGCCGAAGAGAGACGGGGTTGGGTCTGCCCAAGCACCGGGGTTTTCATTCGAATACTCCCCCCCTACTGATTTGACTCAAGATGCAAGGTTTGATGAGATATCTCCCCGAAGAAAAGATTATGACACAGAGGAATCATGGCTTGAGAGGAGGTTGGTTTTAGCATCTTATAGGTACTGTTTTGGTTGATTGAGTATTCCCAAATGTTTTGATCAAGTTCAATCATGATCTATGTCTCTCCCAAAGGCCGTCAGGGGAAGAATTCCAGGCTCAACTTACTGCTCTCGTTTCCGAGAAGAAGAAGCAGACCCTCAAGAATGGCAAACAAGATACGAAAGCTTCCCTGATAATTAAAGCCAAGAATGTGAATCTACCTTCCAAGACTGATGAGCAAAAACATGTTCAGCGAGTCGAAAGTCCGATTTCACGAATTCGCCCATATGCGTCACAATCGGGTAATCGCATTTGTGAGATTTCTGAAGTTTGCCAGATGAAAAACAAGCCTACAGTTCAATACGGTAGCGCAGAATCAATTAAGCCGCCAGAATCAGTGGGGAGTGCAAAGGTTTTGGATTCAGCTGGGGAGCAAGCAGGACAAACGGGCGTTCAAATGTCATACACGGAGGCTACTAAAAACGGACAGTCCAAATCTCAAGACCAAGACCAGAGAATATTGCCCTTGACCAAGATAAAGAGTGATGGACCTACGCGCAACAAAATTCTGGGAACTCTTGGAAAACCGCCGACCAATCAAGCAAAACGCTTCAATCATCACCGTGTAAGTTTTCGTGTAGCACGTCGACGTGCACACACCGAACGTGTTTGAAAGAGGTGAGTAAGAGCCTCTGAAGAGATCTGCTTAGTAGCCATACAGACACCCCTTGTCAAGAAGGTTGTTTGTACTTCGTGGGTTCTGTCTTCAACAAAGGATAGGGTGTATTGAAACACCTGAACATACCAACCCTTGAGACCAATCGATCATGCCCTCTCGTCTCCCATCGAGAGAAGGAGCAAAGTTGGAATACCACCTCAAGATTTAACGCTCGAGAGGAGCCCACTTCTCTTAATTGTCAAATTGCGGGCTTCATGAAGCCCTTTTCCCAAACACATGATTTGTCGATGATAACTTGAATTATCAAAATCGACAGGGCTCATGTTTACACAGTTTGACGCAATCTGACATTCGGGAAGAGCCCACCTATCTGCAATGCCCACTTGCGGGTTTCATGAACCCGTTTTCCCAAACGCATCCTTTGTTGGTGATTACTTGAATTAAAAACTCTCGAGGGCTTACGTCTTACAATGTCCTACAAAGCTCAAATCCATTAATTAACGTGATCATAGCCAGAATCAAGTGAAACTTCTTAAGATTTCTTCATCACGGCTACGCTCGGCACGTCCCCAAATCTATTATCTTCGTACTTTGTTCCGTTCTTTGGTTATCTGCTCCGTTTAGCGAGAAACATCAGGACGTGCGCAATGATAAATGGCCGTTTTGATTTGTTTCACTTCTCTGATTGAGAACTTTGGCCCACAGTGGTGAGCGTATGGGGAAGTAAGACATGAACACAGGTGGGCAAGGTAAGTACATACATACACTATTCACGTAAAATATCCTCCAGAATAACTTGTGTTCTCTCTTGTCTATGACGGGCAATTTCAACTTGCTCAATCACTGTCTAGGAGGTGAAACTGCCCTTGAGTTCCTCCCCACGACCGTGGACTTGTCTAATCAAACAAAGGTAAGTTTTGTTGTTCGATGTTTATTTCAACAAATTATGAAAGTAAAATAAGGACCCCAGAATCGTGGATTCATGGTGGCATGCTTGTTTACAAATATAGATAGTATAGTATCGTTCATCAAAGACTTTCCCTCTCTCCCAGCATCTACATACTCATTTTGAGAGTTTGATTATTCTATTTGACGGCTCTATCTACTGTAAGCATCTTTTTATTATGTTATTTCACTTCGATCACTTTCCTCTAACTCTTATATCATTGGTGCAGATGCATTCAAACCCATACAAGACTTCTGATACCCATTCGAAGAGCTTCAAGAGATGGGCCCGGACCGTTCGTGCAAATGATAAGCTTGGCATGGTGTCGAAACAAGAAACAAAGGTTGTTCAAGTGAGGTTTTCACATTCTTTCATTTTCTACGGCATGAACTGACTTTGTATCTTCTGTGCTGCTTGTTAGTCTCTAGTTCGCAGGCATATGCGTCTCCTATTGTGTCGAGAGACTAAGTTCTCCCCCATCCCACCATCTCTATCGGCGGCAGAGCAAGAGGGATTAATCGAGCGCTTTCCGGAAAACACGCTTCTTCCTCATGGCGCTGCGGAACTTATGATCATGACTACAGACTTTGTAAAGACCGGTTGTCACATGAAGAAAGAAGATCAAGATGAGATCGAAAAGGACCTCAAGCGTTGGGGCCTTCGTAGATTTTCAATGAACTGGGGAAGTGATATGAATGATCGTTGCAACATCTTAGGTCGCGAATTCTTTTGGGTTTCGTTTTATCGTTCTATCAAGAATCGGGTCTATAAATTCAGGATCAATCCCGATCTTCTTCGCCGCCAAATAATCCTTCCAGCATTTGACGCCGAGTTCAAACAACTTTCTTCGATGTATCGAGATCAATGCAGTAGCGCTGAGATACTTGGTTATCATGCCATGGTGCATGACAAACAAATGGTAAGTTTCTTAATTTTGATCTCATTTGGATGAAGATGGATTTAATGTGTGGCTGTTTTGTATGTAGGCTTGCAAAGAGTACGCTGATTTCTTGGGAAGATCTGGCGTTTCGCAAGAAATTGTTGCGATCTTTCAGCCAAGGAACTTTCATATCATGGGGAATCAGTTGGAAGTTACAGTCGTGGAGGGTGATAAGTCCTTCATCGAAGTTCATGTAGCTATACCTCGATGGTGGTCTGACAAAGCAAAGGCACTCATCGAATTGATCGAATCACGGGTACACTCTCATGTCACCTCTCAAAACGACTTCCCGGCCTTGTCTCGTTGGCAGCGCAAGTACTTCATAACTTGTTCAACGGACTACGGTGTCATCCCTCGTCACCTCCCTGCAGATCTCTACAGCACCGAATTTAAAGACAGTTTATTACCAACTGAGCTTGAGGACCTCAAAATGAAACCCGACTTGTTACCACCCGCTAAACACATGGCAGAAATCTTTCCTGCCGACTTGGACGAAGCGGTCTTCCATCCCTTTGGTGCTCCGTTCAATCAATATTATCCTAGTGATGATGAATTGTCTTCCGATGAACTTATAGATTCAGAATCAGAAGACGAGCTTCAACCCAGTCCTGAAATCAAGCGCATTGAGGAAGACTTTAAAATTCAAGTTGAAGCGTTAAAGGAAGATATCCAGACTTCAAAATCGACTTTTGCACGTTTCCAAACTGAAATCAACACTTCGATCCCATTGCGCTTGGAGGAACTCAATAATGCAAAGATTGAAATTGCGGATCTCAACAAAAAAATTATTGAAATACAAGCACAGTTGAATTCGGGTAGCTCTGATTCTGGTTCTCAAGAACAAGATGTGATAGTGGGTGGCGATTTGGTGGGAGAAAGTGGTGGTGGAAGTGTTGATGTATGAAGAAATTTGCCTGGGTCCTTCATTCATGCTTGGAAACGGTTTTTGAATATTGAGCAATGCTGGATTCAGATGAAGTTCTTTCAACTAAATACTTTTCCCCTTCTATTAAATAACTTGTCTTGCCAGTCTGGATAGACTGTTTGATTTTTTTAAATTCCTTGTAGTTCTTGATTCAGTGTAGGCGTGATTTGTTTTCATTTTGACAACTGTAATTTTATGGCTTTGAAAGAAGCCCGTGGTCAAACTTACCTTCGAGCTTGTGCGACTTATCTCAATGTTTACAAAGTTTTTGAGTGGTCCCAGACATCTGGTAGCAGGCCTATTTTGAGTTGGATGGCCTCAAATCCATCAAAGACTTCTAACCGAGTGGCTTACTTTGAAAACATCATATCATTTTCATATGGTTATTGTCGCAAGGACCAGGTTGTTTGACGAAAAATTCTAATGCAAACAATCCCATCCTCTTGCGACAATTAAGGTACATTCCTTAATGTTTCAAGGACCTGGTTGTTCAATTAACGATCCCTTGAAAGATCCAAGCCAGGCCAGTGCGACGCGAAAAGTACACTCCTTAATGTCGCAAGGACCTGTTTCATCAATAAACAATCCCACTAGGATATAGATTCTTCTAGATTCTAATCCAGGCTCTTGCGACCAAGAAGATACACTCCTTAATGTGGAAAGGACCTGGCTGGTTAATTAATAATCCCACTATGATCCAATCCAGGCTCTTGCAACGAATATGAAAAACTCTTTTATGTCGCAAGGACCCTGTTTTTTTATTAATCCTCAAGGGTTTCAAACCAGGCCCTTGAAACAATCACTCTGGCCTATAGCAAGTCTCATATCATTCGGCCTTGTTGTTTTATCTAGTATATATATTCGCAATTCCCAATTGTTTGAGAACTTCAATTTCCCCCCAACCCTCACATATTTGTTGTACCTTCACTGCTATTATAATTTCTCTTGCTATTACAAAGCTTTTCCTTTCAGTACTTCCGTACGCGTAGGAAATGATTCAAAATAGCACTTGACTTTTCGTCCTCTCTATTGCAAAGCTTTAATATTCTGAAACTTTTCCTTTCAGTACTTCCGTACGCGTAGGAAATGATTCAAAATAGCACTTGACTTTCCGTCCTCTCTATTGCAAAGCTTTAATATTCTGAAACTTTTCCTTTCAGTACTTCCGTACGCGTAGGAAATGATTCAAAATAGCACTTAACTTTCCGTCCTCTCTATTGCAAAGCTTCAATATTCTGAAACTTTTCCTTTAAGTACTTCCGTACGCGTAGGAAATGATTCAAAATAGTACTTGCCCTTCCGTCCTTTCTATTGCAAAACTTGAATGTTCTGAAACTTTTCCTTTTAGTACTTCCGTACGCGTAGGAAATGATTCAAAATACTATGTCCTGTCTATCATAAAACTTTGTTCTATCACAAGACTTTTCCTTTGGTACTTCTGTACTCCTAGCAAATGTTTTAAAATGTCCCTTGTGCCACCCTCCTTCCTATTATGAAAAATCTCATTTGTTGAACATTTTATTTGATTTGTATTTAATATCTTAATGTATCAAACTAATACGAGCCAAACCGTTGCCGACATTTAAGTTATGAAATCCACCGACTCAAACTTTGTTGCAAATAAATGAAAACCAAGAAAGGATTTTCCTTGACGAATAACCATGCGACTCAAAACACTCTTTGTGAGCGTTTTGTTGCTTTAAAGGGAAAGAAGTTGAAAGGGAAGTGTGCCGGTAAAGAGACGTTGAGTGTGCTTGAAATGTACCTTTGTGAGAGTCCTTCAAAGAATCTTGTTGAAAAATATTCGCGAGACCACCGAGGTCAACGTTCGTTTGGGTGCCGTATGAGCTTTCTTGTTTTCGAATTGATCTTATTCATCTTTTTTGATTGAACATCTCAAAAAACTACAAACTAGTACTCACCAACTTGTCAAAGCTTATCTATAATTATACAATACTATGAGTCAAGCACCCACGATGACGCAGGGCCCATCCACATCGGGTAGCGGCAAGAAACGACGCCTAAATTCTGACGACGAGGGTGGCCAAGGTGTGTGTGGTTCTGAGTATTTGTACCAATGGTTGTTGAGACTTCTTCAAGGACTGATTCAAAATTTCATCTCAGGTTTAGACGACCAAATCCAGCCCTCTGATTCAGACTCTGACCTAGGTGAAAGCTCGGGTAAGTGGTGATGGCTTCTTAATTTTGGGATCTGAAGCCAACTTGGAAAGAAGAGAATTAGCGGGTTAATTGATACATTTTGATTGGTTTTGGTAGATGGGGAACTCACTCATCAGGATCTGCTAGAGCGCAAAAGAAGAAAGAAAGCGATGCAGAAAGAACTTACGCAAATTCGGCATCGCGATGAAGGGATTGGGAAAGCTGCTCAGGCGCATCTGACCCCCAATTCTGCCACGCCTCTTGCACGAGCGATTCAAGAATTCACAAAGATGCTTATGGGGATACCAAGGAAGTCAAGAAACTCATCTTCTTTGGATATTGATGCGGAACCAAGACTTCCTGAAGCTCCAACCGATGATGAACGGCACAATTGGTTAACACGTAAACAGACTCGAGAAGACTTCATAAGAAATGCTCAAGATAAGGGAATGAAAAAGTACCTGTCAAAAAAACCTCCCGGCTACATACCAAATCGAAAACAACGGAAGATGGTTGAGCACGACTCGGCAGAAGCAGCTACACTCAAGAATCCGATGAGGCCTGTGGTGTTTAAATCGCGGATGGCATCTGGGGGACGATCACGTTATGCCCACCATTGGGGTACTCAGTGCGAAGCTGCACTGGCGATGGCTGGATTTCCTCGGGCAACATTTGATTGGAATGCCTCATGGGATACTCCATGGAATTCAACCACTTCTTCAATCATCTTAGCTCAATGGGTGAAAGTGTACGATGCAAATGGTGCCCGAAATTTTGGAATACTCAGTTCAGAGAACACAGCCGCAAATCGAGAAGAAATTCTTCGACGATGGGTTAGCAACAAGATGCCCAAATACAACGATCAAACTCGGCGAGTTGATGAGATGAAGACACCAGCGGGTAAACAGAGGCTTATCGAAAAAGATGCTGAAAAACAGGGGATTGCAAGGAAGAGACGTCTTCAAACAAAGGTTTGTTATTTTGTTATTTCAGAAACTAAAGAACAAAATTGTACATGGGCAGCTTTTTTGACATATATGGCTACTCTATACAGATCCAAAAGATGCGGAAGGATGAAGCTGTCAATCTCTTTGGACAAGATTCCACAGAAGTTGAAATGATATCTCACCCCGAGATTCATTCAGAGGACGAGTATGTTGCAGGCAACTTTGGCTCTCGGCAAAGGAAACGGCTTGAATGGCGGAGCACGGAACTCGATGTGTTTATCAATTTACTTGATAAATGCCATCCAGGTCGGAAGATATTACCTAGAGAGAAAAGGGTGGCTCAACAATTGATTGAACGTGGGCCATATGCCCCTGATCCAGAACCCGATGCCTGTCCACCAAGGTATTTTCAAGAGTCTTTGGTTAATCCAGCTTGGCTTGAACAACAAACAGGGTTGATTGTGGCCGAGCTCCAATTGAATGGAGAAGAATCAGTCAATATCAATCGTGCTATTCAAGAAGCTAAGGGCACATTGAAACGCCGTGGTGTTGTCTTGTCGAATGAAACTCAAATGTCGGGGTAACGGGGTAAATAAACAGGACAACCATCAAAATTCTCACATATTATCACTCGAGTTATTCTTTTTTTGGTGTATATAGACTCAAAGCCTTTTTTATTTCTATCTTTTTGTGTATTTAAATTTTTTTTATTCCCAATTGTTTCTTATTCTATTTTTCTAATGTTATGTATATACACTCAAGGTCGATTTTTTTCTTTCTGATGTGTCTCTTTCTTTATCTTTCTTTGTTGATATTTGGATGCTTAATGATAACCTGGTATCACGTGTTCCAATGTCTTGATGCTCATTTAACCGAGAGGGTTATCATGTATTGAAAATTTGGGGTTTTCCGGCCAAAAAACCCTTTGCCCAAAGGTTTTCTCAAAAGAAGTTTCCCGAGTTAACAATCTCAACTTCTTATTTCTCAAACTTCTTATTTCTCACTTATACACATATTGCCTTCACCGTCTTCGCTTCCCCTGTCTTGACTTCGTGTCAAGTGAGGTCATCTATATTCATCTTATTTGCCTCAGCCAATCTCGAGTGGAAGAAGACTATAGACACTAGCTTCGACTTTTTCAATGTCTCGTTATGGGCCTAATCATTTCATCTGTGAATGTGTCCCCTTTGGATGTTCCAATCGCACTTTTGTCAAAGACGGCGAGACACACATTGGGCGCCTTTTTCACCGGACGAACTTTCCCCGACATGAAGCTGCTTCCAAAGCTGCAGCCAATCCACCTCCATCGCAAGAGGCCACGCAAGCGACCTCTCACAATGCACTCGATGCATCCAGCGGATTAGATCAGACACTCGGCGTGTCATCCAGTCTTCCTCTTGGCATGGGCGATATCCATGATAGCCATGGGACCAAACGACCACGGTCTTCTTCAGAATCTGCAGCCGAGCCTTCCACATCGTCTCTCGTGCACTCGCACCCTCCTCAAAAGCGTTCCAGACTCACCAAAGCTCCAGTCTATGAACATGAAGCCGACACTAGTGCTTTTTACACGCCTCGCACATTACTTCAGCATCCTTCTTGTGTACAATCAATGGTTCACGTTCTCAATGATCATATTATCAAAAACCGTCCGGTGGATGCCTGTCAAACATCGCTCAAAATGGAACGCCATAAACTCAAAACGGCACTCAGCATGACCAACAACGCTACAACTGCCATCTGGAACGAAATTCCCCTTACGGTCCACAAAGCTCTTAAATGTTTTCACCTTGAAGTTCCTATTATCGAAACGGTTTCATGCCCTGTGTGTTTTGCGCTTCACGGACCACCACAGAAGAATCCCAGTCAGCAAAGGTGTGATCACTTGCGCACTTCATCCAGGAAGCCTTCAAAGCGTGCATTCAAATGCAATGCCTCTTTATATAAGCCACCTTCTCCCAAGACCGGCAAAGTAACACCTATCCAGACTTTTTATCACCTGAGTTTTATAGACTGGCTGTCCAAAATGCTCCAATCGCCCTCTTTCGAAAGCAATCTCAACAGCTCAATCGACCGCACTCCTCCTCCTGAGGGAACCCTACAGGATATTTGGGACGGCAAGCTCTGGAAGACCTTCAAACACAAGGGACAAGTCTATACACGCACCTCGGGCCACTTAGTTTTTGGATTTTACGTAGACTGGTTTGATCCTTACGGCACCAAGCGTGGACGGAAACACTCAGCAGGAATTATGCTACTTATCTGTTTCAATCTTCCGCCTCATCTACGATACCGAACCGAGAACACCTTCCTTTATGGTATAACCCCAAGCCGTAGGGAACCCACCAGCGAGCAAATGGACCTCCTGTTGGCACCTCTGATTAGCGAGCTTAAAACATTATGGGAAGGGACTCGATTCAGTATCACTTCACTCCATCCGACAGGAAGAGTGATACGTGTTGCTCTGTGGCCAATTATAGCTGATGTACCTGCGATGAAAAAAGTCTCAGGATTTCCTTCACACAGCGCTACATATTTTTGCTCGAAGTGTTACATCCTTAAGGACGAAGTGGACGTGGTTGACATGATATATCAAAGCAGAACCAACCTCATACATCAGCGCCAAGCTCATCTTTGGCTGGAGGCGCCAACACCCAAAAAGAGGAAAGAATTGATGATGCAGAATGGTGCTCGATATTCCGCATTCTACGAGCTACCGTATTGGAAGCCACTTGAATTTGCCACTGTGGACATAATGCATTGCCTCATTCTCGGTCTCCTGGGTGATTTTTCAAATACATATCTACAAATTTCTTCGGCAGGAAAGATACTCAAGAATCAAGAGGACGCCAAGATCAGTAATGGCGACTATCCTACCACCCTCAACCCTCCGAACCCTACGTCAGATGTCACAATGCAAGACCCTCAAGCATCCAACCTCACGGACGACCCTTCTGATACGGACCATTCAAGCTTCAGCTTTAGAATGAAACATGCTCGAGCTGCAACATCTCAGACTGCCACACTCTCTTCGCGTGAGGAAACCCACGAGAGCACTGATTCTGACACACCATCAGATGCGACTGCAACACCACCTGCAGGTCCTATACTTACGCCTCATGAGCTTGAATTGATTCACACTTGTATTTCTGACACCCTGGTCCCATCTTGGCTCACTCGCGTCCCAACAAAGATTGGCATGCCACTTTCTGGCACACCAAAAGCTTCAGAATGGCTGATATTATACACGGTGTATATGGTCCTTACTTTGATACCTTACCATCATCAATCTGAACTTAATTCCGATTCAGCAAAAATCTATACTGGTATCTCCCTTGCTACTCAAATCATCAACATATGTGTTTCACGGACAATGACGGTAGATCATATCAAAGCCCTCCCCAACCTTTTACTACAATACCGTACTCACCTTCTACAAGTGTGGCCTGGCATCAAATCCAAGCCAAACCTGCATTTTGCACAACATATCGCGGCTCAATGCGAACTATTAGGACCTGCTTCCTATACCGCTGCATGGACTGGCGAAAGAATTATTGGTACCCTTGTCGGCACATCCAAAAGCAAAAACCGTGGTATGTAATGAGTTTTGTTTTGCGTTTTTTGCACATACTCTAACAAAACAAGTTTTGGTCACTATTATTTTAGGTGTTGTCGGGCATACAATGATCAAAAAGCATACTCAAAGGTCTTTCTTTCTCAACTTTCTGAAAGATACACCTTCGGACTATGCCACAAAAATTGGTGTCGATATCATACAGCAAAAACCAACCACTAAATGGAAACCTTTTTCCCCCAAATTCGATGTTGGTGTGTCTATCAACAAATTATTACAAGAAACAGGCTGTGAACCCTCATCAAACCTCAAGGCAACCTCTGTTTGGAACCACGCTGGCAAATATTTCAGCACCTTTTCTGAACATCGTGGAAATAGTTATATAGACTTTGTCTCTCAAGGAATCCACGGATCAGGCGAGATCCAACACATAATACTCCCTGATGGCCATTCTGACCCCATATTCGTCCTCCATGTGTTTCGTGATCTTGATCAAGCAGACAAGCCACGAAGTCCCTATGCATCACTACCCAATTTAAACGCCAAAGTCCTGTACAAAGACTGCTTTCTGAAATCCATCGGCACACAAGATGTATTTGGACACTGCGCAGCACTCCACAATATTTCGGGCACTTTTGGCATCACCAAACCAACTGTATCACTGGTCAGTCTTCGCAGCATGGTGAGCATTTTCACTGTAAGTTATGGATACAATGTACCCAAGCTAACCACTTTATGTATTCAGGGCATTTCGGACATGTCTTCCACTTGAAATTGACTCGATACATTTCTACTAATCCAACTTCTATTGCTATTGAAAATATGTATGTAAAGACAACCACAGATATGATACGACTTTGTTCACTATACTATATACACGAATATATACACGATTGTAAGATTGATAGATATGATGTGTTGTTGATTTACTATATACACGACTATATACGTGATTGTAAGAGTATGGCCTTTTCATATACATCTTCGAAAGGGAGCAACAAGCTACACAGAATTTTTTTTAACCTCAATGGTTAGAGTATGTAAAAGACTTGACACAGGTTTTATGCAAAGTGAATTCTTTTGCTCAACGGTCAAAGATGATAAAAAAATTGAGTCATAGCAGTTCTCGGGGAGGCCTTGACATACTGGAGCATTTGGATTGGTACGAGTTGCCTCGATGCGACATTGGTCAAACCGTTGTGATGCAATTAATAGGCCATTTTGAGAAGCACAGTACTTGAAAGATGCTTTATCAATTTGATGCAGTAATGAAGCATACTGTCTGCTACGCCAGACAAGCCCAATTGAATGGCAGTGTGTTTTTTCGGGTTCCCACTCCGTCTCGGAGCAGCAGTCCTGCGAAGGTAACAGCTCTTCTTCGCTGTTCGGAAGGTTTGCTGCCAATAAAACACGATGAAGTGATTGTTTCCGGTATTCAAATAGCTGTAAAAGAGACTACCAATCAGCCAAAACCCACTGAGATATTTAGAGACACTCCAAACTTACCTTTATCTTCTTACGACATGTCTCCTTCCGTAGAATCTTCTCAGGAGATCGGCGTCCTTGGCGGATGTCCACAGCGCGTCCTCGCATCCATCGAAGGATTATACCGATACATGTATCCTCGTCGTTCTCGGAGGGAACTGCCTCCTTGAAAGCACCTTGAGTGTTGGCATATTGCCAATGTTTGAAAAGGAATACTGCCATAGTACGATTCCAAGGATCGCTATCAGGCGCCTTCCAGTCAAAAGTGATCCGGCTGATACCATGCTTCTCCAAGTCGGCGATACAAAGATATTTAAATCGGTAATACTTGTTGCGAGCTTGTCCATCATCTCCAGAAGGTGATTGCAAAGTGAAAACGCGCCGATCAGACATGATATCTTTCTGTTTGAGAGGTCGAAGTTGACAACGTTCATCAGGGCTAGGCTCGGGCGGAAACGTCTTAGTGAACTTGTTGTATCCCAGCAATTCCCTTGCAAACCCGGCTAGCGATTGACATATAGCTTCCCCTGACTCCGGAAGCGATGCACGAACCGATGCATTCAAGGATTTGAGTGATTTCACTGCGGAACCCTTCTTCCAGTGATGGGAGGCTGCAGCTGCAAAAACGAGAGAGGCATCGGCATCGGAAATCACCTAGAAGTAGATTTGAAAAGTTGATATACGAACGCATTGGTATGATGATCTGTAACAAAAATCTTTAAGCTGATGGCGTCGCTCGAACAACAGAACCTCCGGATATCAAGGCTAGGCAGCAGTTTCGAACTAGTCTTAGAAGAATGATCAGGATCTGGTCAAATCGAGTCTTTCCAACAGACACTTGGAGGGCTTATAGGGGTAGATGGAACTCTCAATTACATTTCTTCTCCAAGTAAGAACAGCGAAATCGCTGTGAATACCCAAACAAAGGATAAAAACCGCCATCTTTACCCCTTCTTGTGAGGTGTATGTAAAGATTGAGAAACGTTGTGTCCTTCATTATCTTTGAACAAAGGATAATAGGATCGAGCTCTCTACAACAACTCTTTCGAAAGTCTTTCGAAAGTCTTCGTGTGTGCACGTCGACGTGCTACACAAAAACTTACACGGTGTGCATCCTCAAAAGAAATCATTTGTTCTCGCCTCCCGTGTGCACAAGTCCCACACACAAAGGCCAGAAGAAGCAGGATGGACACTGGTCAAGGGCAAAGGAAAAGTGAGACCAGCGGAAAAGCCACACAAATATTCACTTGATATTGATGAGATGATGGAAGAACGCGAGCGAGGAACTTCCGCTGAAGCATTCCCGAAGATAGATGTCGATTCTGGTACATCAGAAAACTTGAAGGAATTCGGGGGGACACCTTGGGAGACATTGAACCATGAAAGTTTGGTTATGGATTCTCCTGAATCAGAAAGTATACCTGAAGAGATCCCTCAAAAGGAAAATAAAACAAATGAGATGAAAGCCGAAGAGCAGTTGGAAAATTTGGAAGCCACTTCGAAAGATTCGCCAACTATACACCATTTTTCCAGTGAGGTTGACCGAGAAGGCCAAAAAATCGAGACAACTGACGAGGAAATGAATGATAGACCTCTGAGTCCCATAGGCGGGACAGAGGCTCTGGAGAATGCAATACCTTTACGAACACCAAGGCGCACTCAGATTCAGCCAACGGCAAAGAAGGGGGAAAAGGGGGTCAAAAGCAAAAAAGGGAAAGCATCAAAGAAAGCAACTACAACAAATCGCGAAACAAAAGTGGTTAGTCAGATCAATGCACTTGTGAAGGGGGAAAAAATTATCAATGAGGAACAGATGGATTATTCTGGCCTGTCATTAACCGTTGTTTTAAGAAAAGTCTTACATGCAGAAAACCGCACATTTGGTTTGCGTGTGGACCTAGGAGAGGCTGCCATTGAGTATCTGAATCACTGCCAGGAAGATGGGCAAGGGATCATCGAAGCTATGGAGGTGATTCGAGATACCTTTTGGAACTATGATGAAGGATGTATGAGATCTTTTTCCATAATGTTGAAGTACAATGCACATAACGTTGTGGAAAGATGGGAGCTTTTCGAAAACGTACATCCTGCACGGACTAGAAATATATGCAAGCTGCTCAGAGCTGATGAGCCAATGCCATCATTTGAAGATGAAACTAAGCAGAATTGGAATGTACTGTCAGCTGAACTGCATCTTTTAAAAGGTGATGCCAAGAATCCTAAAGAAAACGAAGAGAAATTAAAGTGGCTATTTGTGGGGACATTTGAAACCCGCTTAGCCACGTTCAACCTCATGGTTAACACAAATTTATTTCAAGAATCTAACTTCCTCAAAAGGGTCTTGAAAGAAGGAGCCCATAAGGAAGGAGTTTGTCTTCCTGTGCTAGCTCGTATATCCGAGGTACTTGAGTTGTCATCTACCAAGGTTAATTGGGATTCCTTATCCAAAGATCAGATTGAGAACAAGGCTAAACAATTGATAGAAATAATGCAAGGAAAGGTAACTCTACACGATGGAGAAGTCATTGAAGTTAATAGAGGTATTTGGATGAATCAATACACCAGGTACTACTTAACATGTCCTAGCACTTTCATTTCAAAGCTCTTCAACATGCGTTTCAAAAAACTGGCTATCTTGGCTGACAGAAAATATGGAAGTCCATCTAATGGGAATACCATGAATTACGCAGATATCACCTTAGGAGATCAGCTAGTTGCAATTCACGTCCAACTGGACCTTGAAGATATAAGACTACTGAAAGCACACTTTGCAAGGCAGAAATCAAGTAAAGAATGTTCCTCAAAGGCGTATGTTGGTCGTTGGAATGATTATGTTCCAGGTCTTTTGAAAGATCTGGTTATGTCTTTCCAACAGTATCTTGATACCCTGGGGCACAGGGTTCAAGACTTGGAAGCATGGATCTTGCACTACAAAAGGGTTTGCAAGCCTGAGGATGCACAATTCTTCAGAAAAGGATTTAATTAGCCATGAGATTAATAACCTCAAAATTCCAATTGCTTTGTGTTATTTTTTTGACACATAGATTACTCTCAGCAGGAAATTGGAGGATCAGTTCAATTAAAGTTTCGGTTACGCGGTCTTGTTGCCATTTCTTTTGCTTTGCTCTCTTGTTTTCACTTTGTAATCACAACTCTGTTTAGTTGTCTGGGATGATGGATATAGACCCCCCATCAAAGAAGATGGGAAGATAAATTAATATATAGTATTAAACAAATACAAAGAATTTCTACTCAAAACAATTGAATCAAAATTCTACATAAGCAGATATGCTCTTTGAAACTCTCCGCCTTTGTTCATATTCTTTTCCACAAATTGCTACTGGTCACTTATTGGTTTGGACAGTTTCAATTATATACACCTTGTATTGTGAGAACCACCATAACACAGGTGGTTTGTAGGTCCATGATGACTTGCAAAACTTGTGAAAGGGGGATCCGTGAGATATGCGCATGGGTCTTGGTACTGGGCAAAGAACGTTGCCTACAGAGCCGTGCACTGAGAAAATTTTATATCTATCTGCACTGTCACCACTTTCACCACTCTAGGCTCTCATAGTCTAGACCACTCACCACAAGTCCAGCATTCACTCCATTCACCCAGGAGATTCTTAGTGAAATCTCTGGTGTTTGTCTACCACCCCACCCACCCCACAATAGTATGAAAGGTCACAATTTTCCTTCACCACCAATAAAGATGCTTTGATTGGAAAATGCAAGGTATGCTTGGATGACAATAGCCTTGGGCACAACATCCAAGTAAATGATTTAAGGCAATCTTTGGGGCCAAATAGATCCTTTGATGAATTCCTCGGACACACAGGTTGAGGGAACCAATATCTGAAGATACCTTGGATTTTCCAATCCAAGTTATCCTTGTCGGCCATTCTGATTGCTATTCAACCTATCTGATCAATATTCTCATTTGATTTATACTATATTGCTTCATCTGTCCAAAGCTTGAGTCTGTGAGTATCATTTGGGAACAATTTATAATGGTGGAATGGTGATATTAGGACTATTTGGTATGTGACTCAGGTGATTGACTAAGTTAAATAAGTATTTCATTATTCTAGTCTTGAAATTTTGATTATTTCTCTATATTTTGACTTTAATGGAATAACACTTTTATTGTGTTGAGATGACCAAATTGACTGGAAGAATGCTCATAGAAAGTATTGAGATTATTTCTTTGGCACTTTATTTGGCAGTCTTAGATGACTTCTAATGGTTAGTTATACTAGTTCACTATCCCTCTTAAAGCTCTGTAAAGCTCTGGTTGAGCTTTAAGTTCCAAAACTTTGGACAAGCAAGGAATCCAGGGGGTAATGCTGAACATTTTGAAGGGGAATATAGGGATCCCAAGGTGGATGATGTGTATGCCAAAGCCTATTGATTTGCAGTACTCAAATCAAGTATACACATTCATATACTTCTCTGTATATAGTTTTTCAGACAATTATCAAGCTATATCTGCCTGGACAAAAGTATTTTTTGGGTAACATTCAGACCTCAATTTGAAGTGACAACAAGGGTATAAATCGACATGAGAGCGGGTGAAGCAGTTGAAAAGAGCGCCAAAAAGTTATGAAAACTTGCTCAAGCAAGCTCAAGTGTGATTACTTGTTGATGGCCAACAATAGGCACAAGGTTAAGGTAAATAAGAGGCTAGATGTATGTAAGGGTCCTCAAAGTTATATATTTTGGGACCCAAATATAGTTTTTTTTTCAGCAAAAAAAACACAAAAAAGTATATAGGAAAACTATATACATGTACATATGTAGCCTTGAGTACTGTAATTAGATGTCTTGATGTCGTAAATTCTCTTGTACAAAATTTATCCAAGTCCCTATATCACGGATGAAAAGTAAATATAGCTTTCTATTAATTTTTGGCAAACCAAGTGTAAACAAGTGCAAGGCCATTTGATGACATCCACTTTGCAGCTCCTGCATGGAATGACTTGAGTGTGGTTACATAGTGAGATGTTTGAGTACCCGAGGTTGTAGCTTTGAGGAACTGCCTAGAATATAACTGGCTTAAAGCTTGTGGTGGAAACAGCTATCTTCTGATTATTTTGCTCACAATCAGGATGGTGTTGTGGTATGTGAAGTCAAGTGAAGAGTTGAATGACAATCATAACAAAGGACAGACAGGATAAGGGTGAGGTAGTCCTGCAGTGGCAGATCAGGTTGAATGGCAAGTGATCACAAGTTGACCTCTTTGTATAATCATCAATCTGGGGTGTGAGTCACATTCACAATCAATTCTTAGGAGGCCAATTTTTTCTTAACTTGGCATTTTGACTTGGGGGATTATTTGAATCATAGACAAGATCAAGAAATGGTCTTGTCTTGCACTTTCAACTGCATAATGATCCCATCCTCAGGTATCTTTGATGATTTAAGAACCACCCAATGCTCCCTTATTGTTTGTCTTCAGTGTGTATCCTTGTATAGGTAAATTATCTATACATCAATTGAAGAGTAAGATTAGATTTAATCAAATTATGGACCTTTGCGAAAGAATCTTCCAAAACATGTCTCATCAAATTTCATTTCATTCATCATTTTGGCTACTTTCATTTCACTGCTTTTTCAACTTGATACCTCCTCTTAATCTGGTGCGCGACCCACAAGGTTGGAAACACTCAATTTTAACAGTGTTGACATAACTCAGAAATTACAAAATATTTATTCAGAGGTATGTGGAAAGAATTGTGTTTAAAAAAGAAACTAGAAGATAATTCCAAGATAAAAAAAATTATTACAAAAAAACTTCAGCAATGAATAATTTAGTTTCCAATATAAATAATCTACAACTGTCTATATTTCATACTTTTTGCTTCGATACCAAGATTTATATAAAGAAACCTTACTCAAACTTCAAGTGATATTTAGATTACATTGCTCTTGAACAAGAAGGAATCTGAGAGATAGAAATCAGGTTGATTCCATCCGCTTGGATCAGAAATTTCAACTTCTTCTTCGTAATCAGATCCATGAGTCCACATTCTCAATACATCCTGTATCTGTTCAGGTGTATCATCCTCTTGCTTCTCGTCCTCGATCTCATCATCTTTCTTGTCCTTGACCCCATCAATATTCTCGTTCTCAATTTCATTGAGAATCTCCAAGTCTTCCTTACCAGTATCATCCTCATCGCTTTCACTAAGATCTTCCTCATGAGAATCCTCATCGCTGTGATCATCACGATCACCAATATTTCCATTGAGACACATCGTAACTCCATATTTCGCAGCCAACTGTCTAAGTGTATGTATAGATTCAAACCCATTCGTATGACAAACGTTAAACTCTTTCAAATTGGGCCAGACTCTATCTTGGAGCCAAGCCGTCACGTCTGGTTGTTGTAATTCTGGATATTCACACAAACTGATTTCGACTAGATTCTTTGAAGTTTGAAAGGCTCTCAAGAACCCGACTGGTAAACCGTTTGAGACCGACAAGTGTTTAAGCTTAGGTAATTCGAATGCGAGTTTTCCAGTCAAGACATCCTGCGAGATCCGATCATCGCTCGAAGATATATCCTGATCTACTGGTACATGATGTAATCTGAGTGTGATTAAAGTGGATGTAAAGAGTTTGGTGAAGCTGTACAGCACGGATATTGAAACTTGATCGCAATTAAACAGATGTAGCTCTTCAAGTGAGCCTTTCCAAACGAGCCAGGTCCAACTAACATCGAAACAATCTGCCGATTCTAGCGTCAGTTTGGTTAGACGAGGAAGAGAAGCGAGTTGAAGACCGAGTGGTGATTGACAGACTTGCTGATCGGTCAACTTCTTCGGAGCACTTGCACTGATCCTTGAACACTGGAAAGAACAGAGTTGATCGAGATTTGATATGATCTTGGCTAACAATGATTCGTTAAAACAAGGTCGATCACCAGGTGAAGTGAGTGTAAGATTGATGAGTGAAGAGAGTTGAGAGATAGGTTCGATGAACTTATTCATCATCTTCTCGTCATAGCACCACATCGAAGTTGCTGTGTCTGGACTAGGATCATCAGTGATATATTCAAATGGGTCTAGATCGATATTAAGTTCGTCGAGTCGAGTGCAAGCTTGTAAGACCTTGAGTAAGAGTTCAGATCGAGTCTTTGGATCCCACTTTAATCGTGTGTTTTCATCCCAGTTCTCTGGGTTCCCTTCAACGAGTTCCTGCTCGTACAATTCTCCATATGAAGCTCTCCAGTACAGCCACTTTACATGACGAGAATGTCTTTGAACAATCGGCTGTAGTGTGGTTAAACTTTTGATTGTATCACCTAAGAGAACAATTCCCTGGAAGGAGGATCAAAGAAAAGTCAATCTCATAATATCATTCATGGTATTATCAGAAACGGATCAAATCAAGTTCTCAGATAATGAGAAACGGACCTTATGGAGGAAAGCAGAACATAGCTGATAAAACGTGCGGTCGACTGATGCAAGTGATCGAAGGTGGACCAAATCATCGCCTTTAAAAGAGGAAAGATATGTAGTATCAGTAGGTGCAAGTAAAAGTTGATGTTTTCATGCATGATTAGAGAAGTTTATGATTTCCTACTCGTTGAGGATAATTTGAAAAATCAATTGATGGTCAGTGGATAAGTACATTTTAAGGGGTTTTCTGTCTTCTAGAGTGTAGAAAGACTCACATTTGTAGCATATCTTGAGTCATTGAAGACGCCTCATTCACCAAAGTTCATGAGCAGGATTTTTATTCTTATTCATAGCAATATTGCTATTGTGATCTTTAATATGATTCATATCTTTACGATCATGTTCATCAGACTTACCAGTTCCTCCAGAGAAATATATCCAGCTGACAATCATTTCTTTGATCTCGATTGGCATAGAGGATAGATCAGCAAAGGATAAACGAGATGTAACTGAAGTGGAAGCCTTTGTCAAGGGATCACATGTTGATGTCGATGATTCTGGTATACGAAGTGATTTGTTTGTTGATTCGTTTCTTTCGGTTGTCATCTTATTTGTGAAGTTGAACAGTCTGGAATTCAAAAACTACGTCAACACTCGGTTTAATGAGACTGGATTGGTGATTGACTGAAATGTATGCGTAACGCTGGGGGTTTGTTAAGCGATGAGAGTGGTGTCTGAAAAGGTCAACAGTGTCCATAGGCAAGAGCTTTATACAAAATGACTGGACGGCTTAGTTCTGAGGAGATTGTGAGACACATTTTGCACTGATGAGCAGCTGTGATCAAAACTTGATCAGCGAGTTGATGCTGAAGAGAAAAATGACCTGGTCAGCGGCGCGCGGCTCAGCACTGAACGCTGAGGAGGTGAGAGTAAACAAGGTCTTTGGCATGATGAGCAACGAAAAAGGCTCAGACAGGGTCATCAATGTCATGAATCGGGGGAGAAAGTCCATATTCCACGCAGATAACCCAGCCATGGACTAAACAGAGCTTTCTACAGTCAGCGTGTAAGAGTTCATGGGCCATCTCAACTAGAGACGAAATATTTCTCTGGTCGGGAAACTCCAAATTTGAGGAACTAAAGAGAATATCGAGTGCAAATGGAAAATAAATCTTTCCTGACATTGACATCACGCATAGAACAACCGTCCTGCATATGAAGGCACTGCGAATGATCACTGCTTCTTCTTGCAAATGCTTACACTCTTTCTACCTACTCCTGATCCAGTTCGTCGTGATCATAGATATGATCACAATTGAAATTCATCTTGATTCTATCAAGATCTCAAAAACAAGTTGATTTGTGACAGACCTCATAGAGAACGTAAGGACTGCATAGTTGATAAAACAGAGCCAACAAATTTTGAACTTGTTGGTAAAGATTTGAAAGAGACGATTCGATTGGGGTTTCAAGGATGAGGATTGGTGTAGAATGGTGGAATTGGTGATCATCTGTCAACTTGTTTTTGAACTTCTTTTCCGATGAGGACCTCAAACGTAGTGATGAGAGATCAAAGTAAACTGGTCTTGATCATCATTACTTTTACTGAATGGTATCGGTCTGATGATTTTGATGTATTTGCTGAATTCAAGGAAGGTGATGAACTTAGTAAACATTTCATTTCTTTGATTTCGATTGGCATGAGATGATTCATAACTTGGGATGACCAAGTGAAGGTGGGATTGAAGATGAAGTGATATTTAAATGTCTCGATGAGCTTATTGAGTGAGATTGGTTTGATTTTCACTCGTTTGGTTCTTGTTTCTTAAACCACCGGGTAATGCCCGACAGACTACAAACAAGGACCGCAGATAAACATGATCCGATCGATCCGGGGCCGGGTCCGCAGCCAAACCCAACCAGCTTGGAGTCTTACTGTCTTGGTGATACTAAAATAGCGACTGAGATGAGCAGACCTGTGATAGGCGACTATTATTCAGTGATGGATGCTTTTATTTACAAACTACACTCTTAATCATTTCCCCCTTCCCACTTGAGAAAACTGTTTAACTGAATGATGTTTACAGTGTTAAAGCAATGGTTTAACTGAAATACATACAGGAAGAATTTCAAACAAATACACATCTCAAGTTAAGGAAGTCTTTGAATTGGGCAGGGGAAACATTGTGTAAAATATTGTTCTCCCTTCTTTAAAATTATTGAACACATCTTCTACAACTCTCTTGCCCAGAATTCTAAGTACTTCTCATAAAAAAAATCTCCTTCCTATTGTACAGCCAGGCAACTATTATTCAGTGATGGATGCTTTTATTTACAAACTACACTCTTAATCATTTCCCCCTTCCCACTTGAGAAAACTGTTTAACTGAATGATGTTTACATACAGTGTTAAAGCAATGGTTTAACTGAAATACATACAGGAAGAATTTCAAACAAATACACATCTCAAGTTAAGGAAGTCTTTGAATTGGGCAAAGGAAACATTGTACAAAATATTGTTCTCCCTTCTTTAAAATTATTGAACACATCTTCTACAACTATCTTGCCCAGAATTCTAAGTATACTTTTCATAAAAAAAATCTCCTTCCTATTGTATATCTTACTACACTTTTGGATCTTCCTTTGTGCAAAGGATTCAAGGTGTCAGGTGTCTCTACACAACTCAAATATTAATTCCAATTGATTCCAAGAGGTGGGGTTGTAAATAGGAACAGCCAGCATTACATTTAGGGCACGTTCACTTGAGCGATTTCTGGGGAGACATCACATTCTGCAAAATTTAAAGTGTCTATTTGGTGGAGCATGTTTCTTTTTTGGATTAAAAAGTGATTTCTGGTCAGAGATTCCTTAAGTGAACATACCCTCAGGTTTATCGACATTTTAGATGAAAGATCAAAAAAAATGAATCAAATTCTCTAAAAGAAGTCTTTAATTTTTTCATATAAGATCAAACATTTCAAACAAGTTTTGTATGATTTCAAGAATTCTTAATTTATATCATCAAGTTGAACATTGAGGAAAACTTAATTCATCTAGAATGCATAGAATATATATGTACCAGTCTACTATATTGTAATAAGTTGATCAAAAGCACATTGATCAAAGTTTTTTACAAATCTATAACATTACATAATCAAATCAATCATTTCATCTTTTTAAAGAAAAAAAAAGAAAAGGAAGAAAAAATTACAAACTTGATTTGGGAGTTTTTTTAAAATTCTGAATAAAGATGATTAGATTTAGGTCTTGATTCAATAGGTGATGGATTTAAATTTGAAGGTTTACCTAAACCCATTAAATTCTCAGTTAAGTTTACAAGATTAAATGAATCATCTAATTTAATTAAAACTAAATAAACCAAACCAAAGACAGAAATCAAAATTGACCATTTCATCATCCGATAAACATCTACAAACCGACCCAAAAAACAATCTTGAGTGAAATCTTATTCGTTATTTTTTGAGAAGAAGAAGACTCACCAGACCAAGTTAATCCAATCGATTCACCTTTCTCCCAACTTTCCCATGCTTTAGTTCTTTGTTCAGGTGATTCAAATAAAGAATGTCTAACGTTTTGATCTAACCAAGTATGTTTCTTTGAATGATAAATAGATAAAGTAGGTGTAGATAATATATTCATTTGTTGGACTAAACTAACTCTTGAAATCGGTCTTGAATCTGATAAGAAAGTATTAGGTGGATCAGTTGTATCAGCTCCAAGATTTGAAAAGATTTCATTGAGTAATTTTGTATCGTATGGTGAAACGAATTCGGAAAAACTTTCATCGCTTTCTTCTACTTGATCATCAAGACTGTTGAAAAAGAGAAAAAGAAAAAAGGTTCAGTCATGATGAATCATTTTTTTTTCTCAAAAACGAGTATGCATTAAAAACCCCCAAAAAAACTTAACTTGCTACCATCATTCCAAGCCATATGAACCCAAGCTTTATCTTTGGTAGCTAGATCGAAATCTGATTTTTTTGAATCAATACTAACATAAACACATTTAAATCGATGAGGATGTTTTTGAGTAAAATCTAAAACATGATTATGAAATTCTTGTTTATGTGGATTCCAAAGTGTTGCAAAGAAGAATCCAACTACCTAAAATTTCCAAACCCAAAAAAGTTAAAAAAACCCAATTCAATCAAATCAGATTCTTGGAAATTTTAAAAATCGTTTGTTAAAGTTTTTTTTTTTCGTAGTTGATCTTTTTGACTTACTTCACAATCTCTGAATAATAATTTCGGATTAACAATCGGTTTTCCAAATCCATCTACTAATCGTAATCGACTGATGATTCGATCAGGATATTGATGTTCAGGATCGATCTTGAAACAACCTTCAGGATCATCTTGAGTCGAAGTGTTTTCTTTTTTATCAGACATTTCTTAATTTAAAGCTTAGTTGAGATGGTTAAAGGAGATCTGATTTGGGCGAATGATACTGGAGGTAAACTTTTTTGAAATGAGATAACAGTTTTATAAAGTCGAGTGAATCGGTCGGAGGATAGTTTCTGCTCCCGAGTCGACGTCATAGACTGGAATATCGAACCGGGCGGAAAACCACCACAGACCACAGTCACAACACCATCATTAAAGCTTTATCAACTTGAATAAAATACAAAAATTTGAATACATATGTAGCATTGGCCTACATTGTCATCTTAACTATAGTACATTCGCAGTTAAGCAACATCTGCTATCCAAAATACTCAAACCTCGATATGTAGTCACTTTCAAAGAACCGTATCTCCATGAATTCTAAAAGAAAGTAAACCATTATCATCAAGAAAGTAAATATCCAATTTTTGAACAATTCGATTCTGTGTGTTTAGTTCTATGTATGTACTATTTATAATTTATATACAACCTAAACCATCTTACAATAATAAAAAAAACAATTGAATTTGGGATATATTTTATAGAACACATCAATCATCATCATCATCACCTGAAAAAAAAAAGAAAAAAAACACTACAAATGAAATGTTTTGATTTGTTTTTACAATAAAGAAACCCCTTTCCCACCAAAAACAAAGTTAAATTCAAAACTCATGAAAAAAGAAAACCCAAAAAAAAGAAAAAAAGTTCAATTTTGATATGAATTGTTTCTAGAGATCATTGGAGTAGTTGAATTTAATGAAAGATATTTTAAAGGAGTTTGAATTCCATTTAAATTCAAATTCAAATTGGAATTCGAAATCGGATTTGATAACGGATTTGAATGAGAGATTTGTTGAGAATTAAAAGTTTTACGTGAATGAGATTTACTTGCGATTCTATAAAACAACCAATTAATAGCTTCTCGAATCCCATGTCTACAAAAAAAACAAAAAGATTAGTAAGTGATCTAAAATTCCAAAAAATATAATCTGATGGATTTCTGTTTACCCGGTTAAAGCAGATACACCAATCACATGTGCTTCTGTGATACCTAATGATCTAGATTTCTCACTTCGATCCGATTCCATGACTAATTTATTAAACAGTTCTTTGATTTCTTCTACTTTCATTGGACTTTGATTCGGTGGATTTCCATTCCCATTAAGTTCTTCTGAATTACTTGTGGTTGTGGTTGTTGTTGAATTGGTTAAATCTTGTTTGTTTGCAAGAATTAGAATTGGGATTTTAGATTCTAAGATTAATGGATGATTTAAAACTTTTTTCAATTCGATCCAACTTTCACCCAAGATGATTTCTTCTTCTTTCTCTTCTTGTGGTTCATCATCATCATTCAACCTTCCTTTTCCCTTATTCTTAGCTCCATACTCATGTTTATTTTTCAACGAATTCAAAGTATTTGAAGTAGAAGTAGAAGTTGAAGTGGTAGGAAATGAATTTTTAATCCAATCATTCGAATCTAAAACCCAACATAATCCATCAATCTCTTTAAAATATTTTTCCCAAATCATTCTAATTTCTTTTGATCCACCTAAATCGATAAATTGTAAAAAAGATGATGAAATTAATATCTTTCCAATGTTTTGTCCTATTGTTTTGGAAATCTGATGAGGTTTTAAACCTGGTTGATTTGGATTATAAATCGTTTTGATTTTTTCTAATAATGTCTTATGATCGATTTAAATATGTTGGATTAGTTTTGATTTGGTTGAGAAGTGATGAATGACTTACCGTTTTACCAGATTGATCTAAACCCAGAATGATGATATTGTATTCTTCTTTTCTAGTGAGATGTTGATATAAACCAGATAAGAGTCGATACATGATTGAGTTGAGTTTCTTCTTGATAATGTTTCTGGAAAGTCTCAGTGTGGTTCTGAGACTGAATGAAGTATAGTCACATTTCACACTACATTTCACATCAACCTTTCACAAGTCACACCTCAACCTCAACACCAAACCACTTTCAACCACTTTCAAAAAAAAACAAGAAAATACCAAGAAAATATCAAAGAAACTCAAAACAAAACAAAAAAAGAAACAAGAACCCATTCAAAGTAAAAAAAGAAACAAGAACCAATCGAACTTTCAAAGATGGGAAGATTACGTAGATCAAGAACACATGGATCAGCCAAATCACAAATCAAACAAAAAAAAACCAAACGATACGGAAGAGATTTAGATCAAATCGAACTAGATCTTAAACTATCAGAACAAATTAGATCCATCAAACAAACCCAACCCAAAACCCCCACTACATCATCTACTCACAACCCAATGAGTGTATTAAATTTAAATCCAAATCAATCAACTGAAAGTTTTCCAATTCCTTATAAGTTTGGTACTACTTCACATAACACATTAACCGGTCAAATAGATGAAGAAACGATTGGATTAGGTGAATATCCGTGTCAGGAATGTGCTAGGTTTTTTATAAATCTTCATTCACTTCAACATCATTTGAAATCTAAAGTTCATAAACGAAGGTCAGATTCCAATAAGAATTTCGTGACTTTTTTTTTAATATATCTATACTGATCTTCGTCACTCTTTTTTACTTCTTTTGGGTTGAGGTTTTTTAGACTTAAAGATTTGGCTGATGGTCCTTATTCTTTAGACGAAGCAATGAGAGTGGCTGGCTTAGGTGTAGATAACAAACAACGTCCTGCCACTTTGACTCCCACTATTACTGCTACTACTGCTACTACTACTACTACTACTTCAAACATGACGATCGATCAAACTTCTTGAGATCAATAACTTCATTAACAAATTAAACTTGGGATTCTACATAGATGTTTTTTAGTTTTTTGACTTTTATTAAAAATGCTCATAGAGAGAAGGATATCATCAATTACCAAAAAGGAATCCAACTTTCCGGCCTTTTTCTCAAAAAGATTTCGATTGAGCTCTAGAGGCTGAAAATAGATCTTCACTTCTTTTTTCTTTTCAATTAGGATTTTCTTTATTTTGTTTTGCTTTTCATATTTCTATTTAAACAAATGAAACCTAAACAAAAATTAAATTCATTTTGATTTCGATTTGGATTCTTTTAATGATTGAATAAAAGTTTGATTTTTGACATTTTGAACTAAAAGATTACGTATACAAAAAAGTGAATGTTCACTTAAATCTATATAAACCAATAAATCAAACCAATCCAACCAGATTCCAAGAAAAAGATCAAAATCAAAGGGAAAAGGAACCCCCGAAAAAGACCCAATGAAAAACAGAAAAAAAGGCACAAGAGATTAGTTCCACAAAACCCTAAAAGAAAGCATCTTCCAAATACACAGAAAAAAAGGCTTACAAGGATAATCAGGATTAAATTCATTTAACCTTAAAATCCATGGAATCCCTTCCAAGTCTCTAATCAAATCTTGTACAACCAATCCATACCTTTCACACAAACTTGAAAACACCTTACATATCAAACTCAAGAGTTGATTAACTAATGATTGGATTTCATTAGAGGTCAAGTTTATGGTTTGGTGATGGAAAAAAGTCGGATTGAATTTCGATAAGATTGCTACGAATGAATCATGAGAAAAAACGGATGGATGAGTTTAGAGAGAGAGAGAGAGAGAGAGAAGTGTGGACTTACTTATGTTAGAGTTCATGAACTCAGACATCTCTTCTTGATTAATTTGATAATCTTCTTGATCAAGTTCACTCTTAGCTTCTATAGGATTTCTTATTAAACTTTCTTGATTGTTTGATTTTAATTGAATCGATTCTTCAACTTGGTTTTCCAAAAGCTTAATGATCATTTCAAATTTCAATAAAATCCCATTCCACAAATTCCAAAATATGTTCGAATCCATTAAAACTGATGTATTATATATTAGTTTATGGAAATCTTTGGGGATCGAATTGAAGATGAATTGATATGTTTTGGGAGTCAGTTGGGTTAAACGTTTTAGGTTGATTGATTCTTGGATTTTTAGAATCGATAATTGTGATTTGGAAATCGGTTGGATTGAACTATTTATATGGAATTCGGATTTGGTTTATAGAATTTTTAATAAAGAACAAACAGTCGGATTTGTTAATGTTTGAATTCATCAGGGGTTTTTTAAATCAGATCTTTCTTCTTTACCTTTGTTGAGATTTATAGAATTGTTCAAATTCATCTAAATTCAAAATTTCACAAACCAATGAAACTCTTGAGTTTTTTTCATCGGTGGATTGATTGATTGATCGAGAAAGCATAGAAACAAAAGTGTTTAAGAAATCAATGGATTTTGAATCTATCTCTTTAAGAAGGAAACCATCATTGCGGTTCATAAGCCAAAAGAAATCAAACAGACTTACATTAAATCGAAACAATTGGATTGAAGATCATCAATACACTCATCTAATGATTCTAATAAATTCTTCATGACTTGAACCAAGTTTTCAGATCGATACAAAGATTGACTTTTGCAATTTTATTCAGAACCAACAAACCCCGAAGAAATAAAAAGTAAGATTTTCAAGATTAATCGAATTCTTGGTTTTAAAATGAATGGTGATTGACTTACATTCTTGGTTTTGATTGATGAACACAATTGATTAACAAAACCACAATTGATGAAACGAGTTGGGATTGATGAAACTCAAGTAATCGACTATCATCATCCAATCCCATCAAAACCCAAAAAAGAAAAGCAAATCACCCTTCAATCAGGTTTTTTTCAAGTTAAGAAAGAAAAAAATCGTGTGAAGAGTAATGAACAGTAAAACTGATCGGCTTTGGTTCGGGTTTGAAATTATTGTCCAGAATGTTGATATCGATTCTTGGTTTTGGGTGATTAGATTGGAAATTGATTGGATTGATCTTTGGTTTAATAAAATCACTTTTTTTCATCAACCCCCACCCCCCCGGTCGAAGAATAATTAAACACATTGGTTTTGAGTTTTTTGCTTTTGACGAAATCAGATGAAGGGTTTTTTTGGGAAAAGATGACTTACATTTGGGTTTGTTTTGGTGAATGATAGATGAAGTGAACCATAAGGTTTTCAAAATCGTCTCAATTGATGGTCTACAAAGAAAAATCCAATCAAATCCAATCAAATGGTCTCAATATTTTTCTTTCGTTTTTGAAGTTTCGAGTTTTTGAATTCAAAAAGAAAGACTTCATTCACCTTAATAAATCTTGAAACGATAAATTCAAGACCACCAAATCTCTAGTCAAAGATCCCAAAACACACAACCATTCTTCAAGTTCTTCTCCTTCTTCCTCCACCACTTCATATAGAACGACTTGTAAGTTTTCTAATTTCTTTAAATTCATTTTCCATCTTTCATTAATCCAATTTGAAATTTCTACCAAATTTTCGTAAGATAAATTTTCGATTGATAATTCGTTTTGATGATCTTTTAAATTGGTTTGGAATTCTTTGATTGAGTTTAGAGTGAGAGGCTCATCGATTCGGGTAAAGAAATCGGGTATCATCCTTTTTCTTTTGGTTCTAAAGGGAATTTTCTTTTTGGCGTATTGATGTGGTTGAATTCAAAAGAAATTAAAAGTGGGATCAGCTCGGATCTTTCTTGGAATTGGTGATCTCGGGTTTCTCCGAAATGTTCATGGGGGATTCGGGACAAAGGACTGGCTGGAAAGTTCGAAGTCCGCCCGAGGGGACTCGGGTATGACAGACCCCAGATAAACTCAAGATCGAGTTCGGGAGCCATCGATGACCAGTGGATGTATGTATGGAAGATGAGCTTGTTGATGTTCTATGTGTAGGTGTTGGTGGCATCTTATGGTGTGTGGAGAAGCAAGATTGATGCGGCTCAACGTGTCAACCAGGGACCTCCAATAAGGCTAGGGCGCCCTGCTAAAGCCCCTGTTCACCAGGGCTTTGCTAGGGCAGGGCGCCCCGGGTGTAAGGCCATGGCCCCAGCCATGCCCTAAGCCCTGAAAAACACGCCGGGTGTGAGCGTGATCACAAAGCCTGCTGACTGGAATCAAAGCTTTCCTCGACCTACATTCATTCCAACACACAAAATCAGGCAAATCGTAAACAATCATCCAGACATAACATTACAGGATGTCGACATGGTCAGAGCAAGATATTCGGCTTGATCCAGCTATACGAAACTGGTAAAGTTACATTCATCCTTCAAGTTTAAAGGTTTTTTGAATTCAAGCGACTGATCAATTGACATTCATGTATCTCGGGCAAAGGTAAGGGTACTATTGCCCATCACCTTGGTTATGTTATTGGTTGGAATCTTACGACATTATGCAATGCAATTACTTCATACCGATCCTAAACCGATTTCATTGATAGCACTTCGAGAACAACGTATATTACTTCGAGCGAATTGTTTCCGATCAAATGGTCATTTTTTGAATACCACAAGATTTGAAAATAGAAGACAGGTGTTAATTCAAGCACTTGAAAGTGGATCTTATTTGAGTGATCATGAAGTTTCCAAACAACCTGGAAAAGAAGATGCTCCAGCTGTACCACCTAATCCATTAGAAGCTGCTAATATGGATGGAATGATGGATGGTATGAAGAAACAAATGGTAATGATGATTCCACAAACAGTGGTAAGTTTTCCATCATTTTGAGAAGCTCAAGTAGGCTCTTGCCACGAATTGCAGCCGGTCAACCGTTTTATAACGGGGGTTGCTCAATACTGTGCGCTCTTTTAGATCATGGGATGGATCAATGCTTTCTTCTTTGGGTTCGTGTGTGGTAAGTGCAGATATTTCAAGTGAATTTGAGTGATAACTCATGTGATGTGATTACAGTCAAATTACCCTTTCCCCTACCAAACGGATTCAAGCAAATGCTTCAGAGAGGTATCGAAACACCCGATATGCACATCAGTTGGGTATCATCTCTATCTTGGTACTTCCTTAATCTCTTTGGTTTGAACTCTCTCTACCGGTTGATTCTGGGAGACGGAAATGGTTTGTCATTTTCCTCTGCATATCTCCCCTGTCCCTTCTAAAGAGGTAACTGATTGACAATCCTCTCATCTTCAATAGCGGCGGATGGATCAAATTCTCTGGCGATGGGTGGTACTGGAGCGACTCCTAGCATGGTCATGCCAGGTCAACAAGTTGATTATAAGAAACTTTTCAAGGCAGAAGTGGAGAATTTGAAATTGGTCGATCATAAAGTTATTTATGATAAAAACTCTAATCTCAAGCTTGATAGTATAGAAGACAGAGTATTAAGAATGTATGGAAAATCAAATTAACTCGAAAATTATTTATCTCTCTACCTTGATAAGCGCTTTCCACAAGTCCATCCGTCCTCATATGATTTTCACCTATGATGGGGTCTTCGGGAACAAACTCTCACCGGGTAGTGCGCGTAGTTTAGTTGATACCTTATTTGTACTAAGAATATAGCACGTGTGCAAACGTCTCAATACACTACTTTGATTTCTATGCTTGAGATGATTGAATTATTGGATTCTTTTGAATGTTGTGTTGTATTTAAAGTCACTCTTTGCAAAATCAAAAAAATAGTGTAGGCTTGATGAGATCTTGGACAATTCCATACAGTTTCTTAGCATCTGTAGGGTATGACATTTTTGCTGAGAGTCACGTAAGTTGTGAGGTTATGTTCAATTCACTCCCTGGGTGGTACGCATTAGTCAACCTATTGCAGGGTATATTTGATTGCAAGAATTATCAATCAGGTCTGTTTCACCTGAAACTTGTTACTTTATATCAAATTATGGATATTGTTGATCCAAGAAAGTCCTACACACCTGCTCTACAAGTTTCTAGGATTCCATGTTCAAAGAATTTAAAATTGTCAACATGCAAATATTCCTATGGCCTCATGAATTTGATTGAAATTATTTTGGTAACATTTCCAGATGTGTGAAGACTGTGGCACCACTTCAGAGGTATATTTAGTGTAGGCACCAATGCACAAAAGAAGCACTTTTCAAGGATCTTATAAACCTGTTTTAGTGATCTCAAGAACTCTGTACCCATGATCCTATCAGGTGACTATGAACATCTGTGAGATTCTCTCTAGAAGCAATATTGATCTTAAGCTTTTGCATATATCATGTGCTATGGAAATCATAATTTATCACAAGGCTGTGACACTTAGCCGGGCACGTGCCGGGCTTCTACTTTATATCCCGTAATTCTCAACAAAACCAAATGAATGCAAAGAACAAATCCCTTGTAGAAGGGAACTGACAACAAAACAATTTTCATGACTGCCCGTATCAAACTGTGTGATGTAAAAAACTAGATGAACATTTTGGGGAACCTGTAGAGCTGTCACATCAGACAAAAATTTACCACAATTTTGAAACTGGAGAACTACACAAGCCTCAAACTTTTTCATAGAAGTCCACTTTTCATGTTCAAAAACTTTGCAATGATAAAAAATGGCTCAAAACCCTCTTTCAGTTATCACAGATTTCTCCTTAGTTGAGAAGCTTGCTTTGTATTGTTCCATGAATTTTTTGAACCCCAGAACCTTGTGATCAAAGAAATCAAAAAACTGCTTAAAAGAGACTGCTTTACTCATCAAGTCAAGTGAAACTTCTGGATTCCAAATACCAAAGTATCTTCCTTTACCTTTCTGTGATTTGAAGACTGATTTAAGTTCTTTCAGCTTCTCAATCTCAAGGGCAACATGGATTGAGACCAAAGCCTCTCCTGGAGTAATTTTCACATCATCTATATCTTGGGCTTTGTCACTTTTCTTTTCAGGAACATCACTTCCCCTTTTGTCCTCAGGAATATCATTACCACTTTTGATTTCAGGAACAGCACTATCACTTAGTTTTTCAGGAACATCACTACTGCTTTTGTCAACATGGTCATAGCTGCCACCCCTGTTAGCCAAGACTGCCAGTTGTCTTAAACGTGAGTTGAAAATCTTGCACAGGAATTTTGTTGGACATGCTAGATAGTATCTGGTGTATTCACTATTCCACCCATGATGAAAGATGTGGAGAGTTTGACCATCAGGTAGGGTAAACTCTCCCTTCATTATATTTATCAACATGAGTGCCTTTTTATTGATGTCATCTTGGGATAAGGTCTCCCAGAAAACCCTCTCTGATCCAAGCTCAAGGACATCAGATATACAAGCTAGAACAGGCAGACTTGCACCTTTCTCAATTGCTCCATCTTGCAAGACCCTTTGCATTATATTAGAATTCTGATATGCTTTATTGACACTCAAGTGAAATGTAGCAACCCTATTCCAAAGGTACCCTGAAAACAACCAGCATAGTTGCTTGTACTTGTACTCCTCTTCTTTCACTGTAGACAATGCAACTGATAGCTCTTTCCAATCAGATTCAGTGGCTTGTTCATATAATGGCCATTTCTCATCAGCTCTGAGGATCTTGCAAACCTTCTTGATATCATCATGAAGTCTTCCTTCATAAGTTCTCCATCTTCTTTGAATGATGTATTCCTCATACATCTTAGAAAATGAAGTAGTTCTCATGCAACCTTCATCAAACTTCCAAATTGCAAGCTGTGCTTTTTCATAAGCCTTTTTTAACATATCCGCATTGTCTTTCTTGATTGAATCAAGGTATCTAAATGTAGAATCATCAGCAATGATATCCACACCAATCTCTTTTCTTTCCTCCTGAAAGACCACTTTGAAAAATTCATCAAAAGATAAACCAGTATAAGATTCCTTCTCTCTTGTTTCCTTCTGCTTGTGTTCTTTGCTTGGGATATTTAAAGCCTCAACTTCTTTGGGCTCATCACTCAAATCAGTGTTTTTAACTCTAGATGTTGATCTAAGTCTTTGTCCTCCTTTCTTTTTTCTACCCTTCTGCTGCATCTGAGAAGGGTGCTTTTTTGTGGGTTGGAACACATCCCCTGGAAATATTCTTGTGGAGCTGACCTGATCTACAGCACTTGGTGAAATATCATGTACGGAAACATGAGTTTCACCCCCTTTGTTGTCTTCTACAAAAGTCTCCCCATGACTCTTGGACGCACTAGCCAACTCATTTGATGATCTTCCAGAGCCTTCACTTGAGTCATTTCTTATATAACTGTGCTCCTGAGCTTCTTGAACTGTCTTCTCATGAATATTTTTGGATTCTTTAGAGTCTGAATTCAAGGCTTCAAATTTTAATGATTCCCATGGGATTTCACCAGCTTGATTTCCAGCTTTCAATTCATCAGCATCCCCACTGAGCAAAGCCTGATTATGATTCTTGGATAGTTTCCCTTTCCCCTTCCCCTTCCCCTTGACAACCTTCCACTGTTCTTCATCCAAAGACTTTCCTTTGGGATCATCAGTTGATGTAGAAGAGATTTCTATCACTTTGCTTGATTTTATTTCCTTATCTTTGTTCAGAGGACCTCCAGACTTACTCATCAGTGTTTCTTTGATTTCATTCTTCAAGGGTTTTGAATGATGTAACTGGAAGGCCTGACTTTTTAGCTCTTCAGAATGACTGACAGTCACAATCTTTGTGGAGAGTTTTTGAGGTTCCTGAAGAGAATGTGATCCACTGCGTTCAGAATCATATGACATTGTGTTTGTTACCTTATCCTTTGAATTGTTATCCTTGATCAGCCTTTCAGAATTTATCTTTGTTAAGTCTGGAGGGTTTCTCAAAAAAACACTTTTGAAATCCTGAACCTGATTTGGATCTGTATAAAATTGAGCATGTGTTGTGGGTCCTGATGATTGTGATGAACTGGCACTTCTGTCATTTACTCTTGAATTCCCAGGTTCTTCTATATATCTTTCTGAAGACTTGGACCAAGAAGTTGCATGATTTGGCTCATCAGTGCGTGAATCTATGCCTTCAGGATTGCTTTGAAAGAAGCATTGTGATGTTTCACAAGAAAGAGTAGAAATTAAGTGAGCAAGAAAATATTCACTGATCCATGTGTATCATTGAAAATATGAATTGTATTTCTGAGGAAATGTACATACTTTCTTGGCCCTTTGACAGCAAATCTTTCTCTGCAATGAAGTATTGTCTCAACCAGTTTTTTTGAGGTATGGCCCCTACTCTGCTGGAATATATCTTCTGGGGATGTAGCATACAATGAAAACTTATCTGGGTCAGTTGACCCAGATAGTTGTCTCCTTGGAGATGATTTTGAAAATATAGCTGGGCTTGTCCAGACATTGTAGTTCATTGATTTTGCTTCTTGTACTTCATTCTCACTTGCTTTAATGTTTTGTAATGCTAGAGAATGAAATGAGATTTGAGTTGCACATAGCATGAAAGTCAGGATGTACCATTGCAGATTGTAAATTGACAAAGACTGTGGCATATTTTTTGTAGAGTTTTTAATGGATGATGAATACAATTTTTGTATGAAATGATTTTCCTGGGCTCATTCTCACTAAATCCATCTCTTCTTATTCCTGTGCTAAGATGTAACATCTTTGTGCTGAAACATTTTCACAAAATAATATGAAACAGGTGATATATATGATACTTCAATCAGAACTTGAAATTGAATCACATTCCAAAACACCTTCCTAGCTCAACATTTGGGATCTGCTTTGTTTCATGCTTATGTCCTCCCTTTTCCAGACTCCCAGGACCTTTGACTACATGGTTCCCATCACAAGCTCTCGACTTACATTCACTCTTGTAAAGCTTGTTCATCCAAGCCTCACAATTGTATATCAAAAAATCAAGGGTCAAAACCTAATGAGACTTTCCAATGGTGTGGTGTGTCTTTTGAGATTGCTATAACAACTCAGGATCTCACCTATAATTTAAGGTAATGTCCTATAAAAGATGAGTTTACAAACACTCTGTTTTGCTGGAGTCGGACGTCCTGCTTTGCAAGAATGGGTATATGCAATCAACAAGGAATGACAAGCAACCCAGTCAATTTGAATTATCTTTCGTTTACTGAATGCTGTCTTTGTGTGTTTGTGGTGGGTGCATTTCCTGAGTCAGATGCTCTATTCACATCCCTTTTATCTTCAAGTATGGATTTGTTTTCCCTCTGCTATTGTATTTTGGTTCCAGAGAGTGGATCTTGATGATGGGATTGAATATACCAACAGCTAAAAATCAAGGAACAGATTCAGGATTGATAATCAATTGGGAAGACCATTACTGGTCCTTCACTGGAGTATACTACAAATAGTGGTTCATATTGGTTGTTTATATAATAGAAAGCTCAAATTGTGTGTTGGTATCAAACAGTACATTCTAAAAGGTAGGTCTGGCTGGTCAAGAATCTGTGGGGTCCCAGTCTATAGCCTGGGTAAAAAGGGTGGTATTTGGACTAGATGGCAGCCCCTGTGGATGAATTACTTTTCTTTAGTCACCATGCCATCCCAATTATATATCTATTCATGTCACAAAAACTGGGTTGACTCTCTGGTAGATTCTGTTTTACTATTCCTAATCTCCCTTTCTGCCTCAAAGGGAGTTGGTATGCTGATATCAATAAACTAAAAAATCAGGGGGGGGCTACCCACTACCCAGTATAAGGAGAACCAAACCAAGTTGTGGGAAGCTCCTTCACTGGGATTATACAGTTTGTGTGATGAGGATCCCATCTCCACCTATCCCTTTCCCAGTGGAGCTACCCTCATACCAGTGATATGGAGCAAGACCTTTTCTATCTATTTATTTGGGAGCTGACTCCATAAGGGGTTTCACAGAATATGAAAAGTATTTCTCTCCTGAGTTCTATTGAAATGGATACTGAAAAACTGTATCACATGACACAAATATCTACTACTATAAGCTCAAAGCTTCATGTATTGTTCAAGGAGTTAATGGAATAACAATGGGCCGGAGGAACTCCTGTAAGGGGATGGTGTCAAATCTTGATAGTGAAACATGGTTCACACATGATCTTAGCAAGGCTGCCACTATACTATACCGGTATATTATACTGTTGGTATAGTATATTTCAAGTATACTATACTAGGCATTATATGGATTATACTAGTATATTTATACTTATACTATGCTGAAAATATACCCAGTATATTTGGATTTACCAAACATACCTGGAAGACACCCATACAAGTTGTTGATAAGTTTTTATATATGTACCGCAGTATATTTCAATTATACTATACTATACTGCACTATACTATACCATGTTTGGAAATATACTATACCAAGTATATTTCAGGTCCAGTATAGTATAGTGCAGTATAGTACAGTATAGTATAGTGCAGTATAGTACAGTATAGTATAGTGGCAGCCTTGATCTTAGAGTAAAATTCTGGAGACAATCTGTGCCTCACAAACAATCCAGTGTCACTTGAATCATGAACCTGCATTGTTCCTTTCAATTTCATGGGACCTCAAAAAAAATTACTAAGAGTAAAACCACTATACCCACACAGTTTTCCAATGGGCCAAAAGTCATCGTAAGATCTATTGGATGTATTTTCAAGGGATAGTTTACACAGGATTGCACATGTCACATTTGAAAATCAGGAGGCTAAGTATTTACAAAAACATGGATCCCATGTCCCTGCTATCTGCTGGTCACATAGGATATCTGTGAGTTTTGATGATAAAGCTTTCAGAGTAAACCACATGAAGATACACATTGATTCCACATATTAGTCTATATTTGTGATCATAAAGACAATTCTGAATCTTGGATATATTTAAGCATAATGGTGAGTCAGAAATCTTGTAACCTAAGTGGGGGTTCACATTTTTGATCAGTGTTATAGTTGATTACAGAGTGGGCACCTGATTTTATAGCCTGTGAAGTAATCATCAATCCACTTCTCTAAACCCCAAACTTTTTTTCCCATAAGGTCAAAATATTCTTTGAACATGTGCGACCTTGCTTTCAAATCTTTGGGCAGATCTTCAGACCATTTTCCAATATAGCCCCTTGCTATCAAGTGGGGTTCCATTTTATGCCTCTGGCTCTGAAACAACAAGTTCAAATAATGGACCTTTTGAATCTCAAGACCAACATGAGTTGCAACCAGGATTTCCCCTAACTTAAGTCCATGAGATATTATTGGGTGTCTAGACATCACTTTCTCACATTTCTGTACATCTGAACAATTGGCCAGCATAGCTAATTCTTTGATACGAGATAGGACCAGTGAAGAGATCCAAGTACTTGGGCATGTTAAATAATGATTGGTATATTCTTCTACCCATGTGGTTTCAAACAACCAAATAGTTTCATTGTTAGGAAGAGTGAACTTTCCCTTCATAATGTCTATTAATTCATTAACCTTTTCTGAAATCTTTCCTGGAAGTAGTGAACCCCAGTTTGTTTTCTTTGATGATAATTCCAGAACAGTGGAAAAACGGACAATCAGTGGTAAGCATACCCCTTGCATGACTGCCCCTTCATTTATAACCCTATCTACAATTCTTGAGGTTTGACCCAACTTTTTGGAAGACATCAAGTAAAATGTAGCAATTCTCTTTTCAAACTTATTTTCAAAAATCCACTGAAGTTTCTTGTACTGGTCAGGTTCCTGTTTTATGATTGATATCTCATGTAACAGTATGTCCCAATCTTTGACCTTTTTATTCTTGAATAATGCCCATGGCTCCTCAATGTCCAGCATTTTACAAACTTTTTGAATGGGATCAGATAGACGATCTTTAAATGTGGCCCATTTTTTGATATGCACCATTCATCATAAATTTGAATCAATGCACTAGATCTCATGCATCCTTCATGAAAGTTCCTAAACCTGACTTGACATCTTTGAAGTATTACCCCCATCATTTCTTGAACAGTAACAAGTTTTTCTAAGTACTCAAGAGCAGCTATATTCAAATCCATCTTCAACCCAGTTTGTTGGTTGTCTGCATGTAGAATTTTATTCACAAATTCACATGCACAAGATTCTGAATGGTCTTGTCCTTCTTCAGAAACTATTACATCAATAACATCCAAAATGGTTGAGGGTTTATATGATTTTAGGATTCCTACATTTCCACCTTTAGCAACATGTTGGTTTTTTTGTCCTTTTTTATGTTTGCTTCCTTTCTTATGCTTCTTGTGATTCTTTTTGGTAATCTTTGGGGACTCTCTAACAACTTGGATTTTGAACTCATTCTGGGTTTCACTTGACCCTGATATCCCACTTTCTTGCTCCTTTTCATTGTGTGTCTGACCAAAATCTTGTGACCTGTCCTTCACAGTGGGTATTATGCTCATCAAGGTAGAATTGACATCATCATCAGTTCCTACATGATTTTCAGGAATCTCGTCTTCAGTCTTGGAATATTGTTCAGAAATCTCTGCAAACTTGTTCTTGGTGGTAGGAATTTTATTTCCCACCTCATGATGAATGGGAACTTCCCAAGAGGGATTACGAACAGCCGTCCAATCATTTGAGTTCCTGGAGTCCCTTTTGGCTCCATCTTTTTCCAAGTCTCTTGCTATTTCCTTTAAATCAGATCCATCACCATGAAAAGGGGGAACTTCAGTTAGCGGGCGCAATATTGTCGGGTTTCCTTCGAGCTTGGTCCGCTGTGCCTCTTGCCAACCTTGTGAGTTTGATTTGGGACCGGATTCTGGCAATGCACACTTGATTATGGGAGCTTTGATAAACCCTTTTCCTTTGTGCTGGAATGACCTGGACTCATCTATCAGTTTGTTGTTGTTGTCTCCTGTAATACTCTTGTGCAGAGTCGGACTTCTCGGCTCTTTGACAGACTCTATATCCTTTCCAGCGTTTGGTGATTGAGCTTGGTGATTTTGCGCCAGCTTCCGGAGTTCTCTTTGCGCATCCAATGAATGGCCATCACTCTCAGGGGTCGCATCAGCTTGTGGAAGAGTATCATATCTCTTACCATTGTATTGAACTTTGGCATTCCTCTGCACTTGGTCTTTTGCAGGTACATCAAAAATAGGTATACTAGCACCCAAATTCTCTCGTCCGGTGGCCGGACTGCTATCCGTAATCTCGCTTGCATGCTTTTCATCTTTGGTCAATGACATCGCAGACTGGATAGGCTTTAGACCTTCGGCTTTGATCTTGGTCTCGCGGAATTTTTTGACCTTTACGGGAGAAGACTTGGGAGGTAGATGGTCGTGGAGTGAGCTCTTTCCATCAGGTAGATGAGTCATCTGCTTTTCATACCCATTACCTTGCGGCGAGAAGGTGGGATCAAATGGTTTTGGGGATGGGCTGAAGCAATCCCTGAAGTCGAATTAGAGCATCAAAGGATTATCCGCATATATCAATCAAGAGCAATCTGGCACATACCTTTCTCCCTTGTCTTGCAGAGGTTCTTCTGCTGTTTCAGGTCCTCTTCCGTTGAGCCTTGTGCCAGCAGAATCATACCCCGACTGCTGCATAATATCGTCAATAGATGAGTGAAAGAACGAAACGTCTCCAGCACTTCCTGAGCCAAAGATTCGTCTTCTTGGTGATGTCTGGGAAAATATTGAGGGACTTCGCCATATATTGTACCCCGGACCTTCTTGTCCTTTAATATGGCCAACGGTCGTCTCAATTCTCTCGAGAGCCATGCAGCGCAAACAAGAACTTAATGAATATAAAAGCAAAATAATTGCGGATAATGATAGTGTATGCATGGCGTCTAAATTTTCGTGAGCAGCTTCGTTTGACGGCAATCTTTTGGAGTTCACTAGGTAGTGATTTAAATGAATCGATTTTCGCTCTCATTCAAAAGAATCAAACAACACTCGACCTCAGAAGGATTGTGATTTCTGCGAGGCTAGCATTCATGAGCTGAGCGCAAGCAATGCGCAACTGGTAGAAGGTGTTTCAATTGATACGATTGCGACGAACTTTCCTGACAAAACAAGTTACTATTCGCATGAACTCCTATTGAGTTCATCTCAAAGTTTGTAATTTTTGAGGGCCAGGATGGTGGACAGTAGCGACTCGATATTCGCAGCTGGCATTCGATTCCAGCAGAAGGTCACCGAAAGTTCGAAACTACAACTTCACAATCTCATACTGGTGAGAATCGAGATTCTAGATTGGCCGAGGGGGAAGATGAACACGTATTCTTATGCATTATATCTTCACCGTGATGAGATTCGTGGATCTAGATCTATCAGATATCTGTAACTCCTCGTGAAATGACTCAATGAGATGTATCTGAAAGTGTATTATGTTTGTATGCCAATATCATGACCGAAACCCTTCCGCAGAGCGCAACCTCTGAACAAAACATTATTCCCTTCCTTTCAATCTGTGTAACGTTGAAAGGTGGAGCGGTGCAATGCCATGTCCGGCCGAAAGAATTGTCTAATTTGAAAAGAATCCACTCATGACACATCAAAGCCGGCCCGGTGTCTCGTAACTCAATGAGAACTTTTGGTCTAAAGGGAGATAACTTTGCGCACAGTCCAGTGGTGACGTGGTCTAGCCTAAATTATAATGCTTGATGTGAGGATGGCTGACTTCTTTTCAATTGTCTTCCATGCAGCTAAGCATTACCAGATATTGTGCTGAAATGAGATCCGATGTTTTTCCAAATCTTATGAGAGAAGAGTTTAGTAAGGAGTCTATCCGCATATTTGATTGTATAATCTTGATTTCACTCACTTCTGCAAGGATACCTTTGCTACTTTCAAACAATTTATGCTACAAACTTGCATTTCTCTCCTTCCTCTTCAACAAAATGAAAAATAGATTCTCTGTGATTGATTTTTGTCATGATCCAGAATCCCGAAGAAGATTAAGCACAAGGATAAGTTCGTCTTCTTCATGTATTCAATTTCCAGCCCAACTTGCGCCCTGCCCAAAACGGTACCACCACTTCATGATCCCTCTCACCAGTGATTTTAAGCTCTACTATCTTTTCATCATCCCTTGCCAGCGTATGTCCCTTTTCATTCTTCTCTATCCCATAAAATGCTCTTCCAAATGTACTGACAAATCCATTCAACCGATTTAGAGGTATAGGACTCAAGATCTGACGAATTTCCGAAGATGATGTGGGAGGTGGAAGCGCAGATTCGAAGATGGAAGCCAAGCTAGGCAGTAAGTAGGGAGAAGTGTAAATCCCTGCAGCACAACAAGTTGATGGATGATTTGGCAATTTGGACGTGATCGGATGTGGCGCAGAATCTGAACCTAGGAAGAACTGCGGATGACCTAATTGGGGCAAAGCAGAGCTTCAATTCAACAAAACCGACGGAGAAAGATAAACGAGACGTTCAAAGCTACCTTCTCTAATGACTTCTCTTAGGGCTTCCCGGTCGTCTGGAAATTTGGCGACTGGTTTGCAAAAATTTAGACCATTACCAGCCCAATCGTCGACGGTGAGAGTGAGATGATGAGCAGTGATGGTACATCCAACAGTCGGGCCACAACTTTTGACCTAAATTTGACGAAAAACTTAAGAAAAACTGTTGTAGTGGAGATAAGAAATAAGTGGAAGTGCACCAACAGCTTCGATCGCATTACGAGTAGTAGCATGTTCAAGCACGATTCTCAGTTTTGGGAATCTTTGGTGAAGTTGTAACAACTTGGGCAAAAACCTTGCCTCCGCATTCAACACGCAGGTACCCTGTATTACAAGCCAAGAGCGATTAGTGAAGCCCCATAAATTAAGAAAGCAGAGCAAGTGTCTTACATCATGAGGATTACTAGGTACCTCACCATGCAAGTTCAGTATCATCCCTAGTTTTTCCATCATCTCAAATACAGGATAATAAATTTCATAAGACTCCACACCTCCACTTGAATTTGTTGTTACTCCCCTCGGACTGTTTTTGAACGTTCACAAATCAGTATAACGTTTACCACGTTTGTAGATCATGAGGGCAAGTCAAGCTCACTAAGATTTCACACCAACAATTCCTGCCGATTTGGCTCGCTGAACTTCTTCAACATCTAGCTGGGGGGATAGATAAAGGCTCATCAAAAACTCAGTATTGGGTGACAATGCTTGTAGTTCGGCTCTATATGCCAATGCCATTTTGGTAGTAGTGATTGGTGGAATCGTATTGGGCTAAGTGTAAAAGTTGGAAGCCGATTAACAATGATTTCTACACATCCTTCTTTTGAGTTCGAATCACTAACCATCACATAAGCTGTACTGATACCACCTTGAGCCAAATGAGGTGTGACGAGTTCAGCAAGTTGTCCGGTCTGACGTAGATGAACGTGAGCATCAAATACCGAGTCTAATTCGATTGAGGTGATATCTAGGTTTGAATTTATCATCTCGCCCATTTCGATTGACAAGCTAGCGCTTTGAAAGTTCGTGTTGCCTTCTTCTTAAATATCTCGCTTTGGAGGTTAAATTTTTTTCTGCGTGAGATCGCATCGCAACAATGCGAGCACAAAGTGGTCCAACCCTAAACAGCATTTCTCTAAACAGCATTTCCGGCCCGGTAAAGGCGTACCTCCCCGAAGGCGGGTCAGATCCGACGGCCTCGGAACAGCTCCGAACGCATCCGCTTCATGATTCAACAATCAAACAAACGAGACTGAATACCCTAAACTCGAAGCAGAAGAACTCCAAAGAATCCAAATGCCTACAGGCCTATAGGATTATCAAGTTGTATTGGTAAAATCCTGGAAGAAATCATTACCAGTCAACTACTTACTGGGCCAAAAAATTTCAAGGTCATCTCACCTAGCCACATGGGAGGCCGCCGCCAACATAGCACAGGCAATGCTCTAGTGATCTTAATGTCCTAGATCAAAAACAAATGGCGGGAAAAGGAGGTAGTCTCAGCTTTATTTCTAGATGTTGAATCTACTTACCTATCTGTCCACCGTGAAAGACTATGGCATAAGCTTTGTCCAACACAATGCCCATTATATCAACTTCATCTCATTCAAGGTTTGCCAATCAAACACACAACAAATCTATGTATTCAGGATTTCTTATCAGAAAAGTTTGACCTCAAAAATGGCTTACCCCAAGGAGCTCCTCTTTTGGTGATTTCATATATCATTTACAACTCAGACTTACTAGGCACAAAACCACCTTCACCAAATTCAAAAGAGACATCAATAGGCTTTATAGATGATGTAGTTCACATAGTTGTGTCAAAAAAATCAATGAGACCTAAATCAACTCAATCTCCATGCCAAAAGATCAATCAGATGGGCTCAGGAACATGGTGCAATTTTTGATAAGAAGAAGGCTCAGCTAATGCACTTCACAAACAAACAAAACCCAGAAAATCTAGACTTCCTCTTTGGCAACATTCTCCTCCACCCAAGTAAGGATGTAAAATGGCTTGGGCTTTTGTTAGACCCCAAACTCAATTTTAATAGTCATCCACAACACATGAAGAAGACTGGTGAATACACACTACACCAATTCAAATGCATCAATAAATTTCACTCAGGTTTAGCTATGAAAGAAATCAAGAAATTGTTTAAATCAGTTCTCCTCCTGAGAATCACATATGGTAGTTGTGCATGGCTGACTAACAAAAACACAGGTAAAGCTAACCAAGTTCTGGATTTCATACAAAATAGTGCAAATAGGATAGCCCTAGGAGCCTTGAATGGGTATTTGAACAAGATGTCAAAACATGATGTGTTTATGGCCCCATTTGCCTGGTCAGCAACTAGCCAACACCATCAATTCATTCTCCAAAGACTAGCAGCACAGGAATCCCATACCACACAAAATTTCATTCAATACAAATTATACTTCAACCATAAAACACATCCAGGGCCAATTCAGGACTCCATGCACTTCCACATCTCAAACCACTAACAAAGGAAACAATTGAAACATTTTTTTACATTCAATAGCTCCATGGGCCAAAATCTTTGGTGTAACCATGAATACTGATAAATCAAAAGGAGAAGTGTTGAAAATGTTACCGGATCAACTGAATTCATAAGAGTACCAAGGAGCCATAATTATCTTCACAGATGCTCTTTTAAAAACAAAGGAGGGGGTGCTGCTGCGGTCAATGAACTATTTAGCTGGACCCAAGCGGTAGAATACACTGACAACTTTTCCAATAACAAGATGGAACTTCTGGGTATCTTACTTGCATCCTAACTAGCTAACAATCTAATTCACAGACAGAGAAATACACCAAAAGACCTAGCAATCTTCAGCAATAATCAAAGTGCAATTCAACCAAGTCAAGACATTCAAAGACCAATCACAAGCCAACATCTATTCATCAAAATTAGGACTCAATTAAAAAGACTGCCCAAAACAACTCAGATACCTTTTCATTGGACTCCCAGACATGAAGGAATAGAGCTAAATGAATTAGCGGACCACCTAGCAGGCAAAACAGCAGAGGAACAAATAGAGGTGATGGAGATACCAACTAGCCTGAGTAGCTTAAAACACCAGGCGGAAGACAAATTGAATGCTAAAAACTTTCCTTTCAAACCAGGGAAAGCTCCTTTCTCAACTGAACCTAAACACATTGCAAAAAGACTAGAAGATATTAAAAAGGTTGCATAGCTTCTATATTCCAAATAAGGGCAAGCTGCAGCCCACACAATGAACATCTCTTTAAGAGGAAACTTACTGACTCACCAATGTGTGAGACATGCAAAATCAAAGAGAATACTCATCACTACCTTCTTTCTTGCAGACAATACTCAAAAGCAATAAAGAAATTCAGATTAAGATTAATGTCACAAAGATTCTAGATTCACCAAAAAAATCTGTTTTTAGCGGAATATATGCTTGATACAAAACACTTTGTACATTTCCACTCCTATCTACAAGACAAACCAAGGAAGATGACCACAGAGCAAGTGACATGATGACTGAGGATGCATGCATTTTAATCCAACAACACAGATTAATTCTGACCAAAAGAATCTTTTTTCACCTAATGTCCAATCCCTCTTGGGTTTGACAGTCTTCACGTCAATTAAAACAAAGACTGCCAAGACATCCAAAAGCCCCTCAGTCATAGATGAACACATTCTTCTGATGATACTTTTGCTCATAAAGTTTTTAACTTGGTATTCAATCCCTCTGGGTTTGACGGTATCCAAAGACCATTAAGACATCCAAAAGTCCCTCAGTCAAGAATCAACAATTCCTCTGATGATCCTCTTGTTTTTCAAAAGCTTCTCTAAACTGATGTGAAATCTTGCTGGGTTTGGTGGTTTCAAAGGACCACCAAAACATCCAAAAGTCCCTCAGTCAAGAATGATTAATGCATTCCTCTGATGATACTTTTGCTTCTTTTGTCACCTGATGTTCAATCCCTCTGGGTTTATTGATCACTTAGGATTGAAAATGATGAAACCTTTCAAAAAATTGATAGGAGCTTCTTCAAAGTCTTCTGTGTCTCCTTGGACCACTTTTTGTATGTCTAAAGTTATGGATTTCAAGGAAATTGGACTCCAAGATCAAGTGATTTCAGACGGTTTAAGTGCACCTGTAGGCCCTGGGTTGGATTAGACCCAGATTTACAAGAACTTAACAGCTCAACCGCTCAACTGTGCCACTTTGCTGAATTAAAGTGGTGCTTGAAACGGCACAAGTGTGTGTAAAAGGCTTATCACAAGCTCTGTTCAATTGTTTGTGAGGCTGCACAATGTTTAGAGCCCTCAAAATGAGGTTTCAAGCAATATTGGAAGAAAATTTTGCTGTGCTTAGGCCAAACCCTGGGTTTCAGTCATAAAGCCCTCTTCAAGAGCTGACATGGCCATGTCAGAAGAGGGGCTTAGTTAAGCTTACTTTTGTCCTGAGTCACACAGTTTTTGTGAAATGGAAAAGCTTGAAGCACATGACCATTACTGATAGGCACATGTGAGGATGATAGCAGTCCAAAGTCAGGCTTCAGAAGCCTTGCATGTCAAAACTTGACAAAATGGTATTACAATAGTTGCCTCATGATTACTGTACAATTGGTTTTTGAGATCTTTGAACATTTCAGTTTGTGTCTGTCTCTAGCCAAGTTGGAACCCTTGGCGGACTACCCAATCAGGTTGTGATCAGCCATCCATCCCATTCCAAATCCAACGTGTAGGAGTGATTTGCAGGCAAGACATCTGACCAGCAAAGGCATGTAGGGAGTTATGTTCTGCAAGAGTTTGTATAACAATGACTGCTTTGATCATTGCTGATCCTCAGTTCATCTCTGTTCATCCTACAAAGCTTGCCAAAAACTCTGTGCCAATTTGTTTGAGTCTTGCGGAAAAACTTGTACAAGGTTATAAATAATTTTGGTGAGACTCATTTTGTCAATTTCAGTACATAATACGCATCAAGAGAGGAAAACAAAAACATGAAATGGAAATAGACAAATCGAACAAAACCACTCCAAAACCACCCCATTTCTAAGAAAGCGCATACATTCAATTCATATTCCAAACGGGACCAGACAATATTCGATCTACACGTATTTACTCTGCCTCGGTTTCTGAGAGCTCTGTAATCTATGCTTACATTTTTATTCCACTTACCAACTTACAAAAGTTCCACCAAGCTCAACTTCTGGACCTACATCACGGTTTGTATGATCATTGATGACACAGATCTTCTGAAATTTCTCTATTCAGTAAAGAACTGGAATCGAGCCTTCATTTGTTAAGTGTAGATTGCCATGGTCAATGGATTCACCTGTTTTTCGTTGCAAAAGAATAAGAGATTGGTCATCAAAGAAGGGTATGATTTCAAAAACCCGTGATAAAGATTAGTACTTACGGAGGCACTCTCCTCATACATCTTATCATTCTGCAAAAAGTCTAATGGCATCTCTACCAAATGTCCTTTGACCTGATTCAATCGATTCTATATTGAAACATCATCCATAACAAGTCCAACGATCAGCTTTGAAACTCTGTAAGATGAATGTATAATACGCTATACCTTCACATCTTCTAGATTTCCTGCTTCATTGACTACGTGACATACTTTAGCGGCGCCTTTTCCGCTGGGAACATAATCTATCGCACGAAAAAGAATAGGGTGGTATGAATCAGTCAGTATTCCATCAAGTTCCATAACCGGGTATTATTTCAAATATTAAGCTGGTCTCATCGTCTCACTAGCATGAAAAGAAAAGGATGAATTCGGTTACCATTGTAGTCTTTCCAAGTCAAAATCCCTGCCGCAGGAACCGGTCTGAATACGTGACCAAAGGCCTGCGTGTTTCTTTGCGCCGTCTTCGTCCACATACACTCCAGCTCATATCCCATCGGGTCGCAAACAGCATTATCAGCTTCAGTATCAGTGGTGTCTTCTTGAGGAACATTGACTGGTAGCATAGAACGTGTTGGATCGTCACGCTGAAGCAAACTTGAGCATGGTTGAAGTAACCCGAGATGTTCTTTGTAGAGTCGCCGACGGAGAGTCGCTGCAAATCTCGCTGCTGGCCACTGGTAACTCTTTCAGTCATCAGCTCATTGGCAGTTCTTCATCAAGCAATGCTCTTTTTCGCACTTACATATTCACCATCCATTTGACTGTCAAGAGTCTCTAGATCTTCAACTACTAAGGCGATTTCGCTATCACGATCACCCAGCATCTGTAACGGACGTTCCCTGTTAGTCTACGCCCGATAAACCAAAAATAGATCAATGAAAGCAAAGAAAAGACTGACGCTGCGGTCGTTGATGTTTGCAGACCCCATGATCACTTTCTTATCGTCTACGATCATCAATTTGGCTGATGGAGATAGCGATTGATCAGCATAATCACAAAAGCAGATGCTTGAGCTGACCTGCTACTGGACTGAGTCTGACAAAAGAGAATGATGGTACAGCATGAGAGACTATAAAATAAATGCAAGTACGTACTGTGTATGTACAACTCCTCTGAAACATATGCCGCTCTCTCTGATTCCTCGTCTCCTAACCAAGGAAGGCTCTCAAGTCCTCCTGGTACATCTTGCGTCACTACCGAATCAGCTACCTGTCGGTCATAGCCTGGGGCGGCCTGTGACCAAGCTCTCAGTTGATCGTGAGCTTCCTTTAGACCGGGTAGCTTCACCTCAATCGTTTTTCCACCGCAAGCTTTCATGTCATTATGGATTGGATCGATACCTTCACCTTCTTGGGCAAGCTTGAATTTTACCACTTTATTTTTCTCTAGCTCTTCCTTGCTTGCATTTTCTCCTAGATAAATCCTAGCTAGAGCAGCTTGCGTCATATAATAGCTGATCCCAGTCCGCGATTCGATATCTTTCAGGGTAGCAGGATCATTGTTGATTCGATCAAAGTTGCGCAAGTTGTAGAAGGAGATATATTCTCGCGCATCAAAGCCTGCTTTTTGAACATAGTTGAAGATAGAGTTTTCGCCGCGGCAGATTGATTTATACGTCCAATCCATGATGGCTAACGTGCCACTGGAATCCGAAGGATTATCCAAATTTCCAGCAAATCCCGGGATACATGGAACTGCGACAACTATTTTAAACTTCTGACCAGCTTGAGCAGCTTTCACAATTCGCTTCGCGAGTGCCAGCCCCACCGTATTCTTGATGTGACCTTCGGGAGCGCATGTTGTGATGAAACTGAAAGGGAAAATCCTCAGCGATCATCTTATAGGAGAGGTCGGACTACTGCCTAAAAACCAAACACTCACAATTGGTTTTCTCTATTGATTTAGGGAATCGCGCGACAAGTAACAGTTCAGACTTATATCGATTTTCAAACGGTATGAAATCAAGATGACAATGACATACATGTAGATGAACCGCTCTGATTCTGCAATCAGCTGAATGTATGCGTTCATGATAGAATGCTAATGATCCGATAGAAACTGTCAGCGGTTGACCAAATTGCAGAGCTTCACCCATGCTACACTTACCTCGGTTGTTGTTCCATTGCTCCAGTCACCACAACTACGCACGACTTGAACCCGCATGTTCCCCTTAAACGGCGTTCTTCCTGTCTCCATCTGAGACCCGCCAGAAGGATATGATCTTGCCTCTTGAGGAACATTCATACCTAAAAATCGACGTCCTGCCCGAGTCCATGCCTCATAATTTGGATGACGTGTCACAGGCTCGTGGTTTGGATGATCGGATTGGTCTGGGTACCCGGTTCCGATTTCAACCGAGAAACCCAGCAATCCGTAGCGCCCGTCAGTGTTGGGCTTTTTCCTATACTTGAGATTATAGATGAAGTTCCATCTTTCAACAAAATGTTGGTATACATCTGCCACAGCGGGTCCCTCTAACATCATGTGGGTCTGCAGACAAATGTTTCCCAGAATGCTATGTCAATCACGAGAACACAAAAAACATGAATGTCAGAGGTGCGGTGAGAGTATTGTGAGGCTCACGTCATGCCAAGGCATGCGGGGTACCTCGAGTCGACTCTCTTGATTGCTGGTCCATTCCTCAACATTTTGGAAATCTTGTACACGAGCATTATTGTAGTCCTGGCCTAAAAAATCAAGAGGAAATATACTTCAATAAGGGATTCCTGTTTATGATGAAGATTTGTGGGTATAGGAGATTAGAATGAAAGCTGAAGTATTCACCAGGCCAGACGGTCTCAGTGAAGTCAGAAATATGACAGTCCGCAAGAGAATGTGAGGCAGTATCCCAACGACCAAAACACAGATCGAGACCACCGATGCAAGCCCATGTATTGTCGACCACTATCACTTTCTGATGATGAGACCAAAACAAGGTAGTCTCTTCACCGTCGAGGTGATCAGGGTGGCGCATACATGCAACGTTGGGATGCAAGGCTTCGAGAGCATGTTTGGTGTGGGACGATTTCATTGTCATGTTGAGTTCAACTTCTTTATAGACAATCACATAGATCTTTACACCAGCCTCGGCCTTGCGCTTCAAGATCCGATCGAGCCTCCAGCGCTCATTTAATGCGGGCGGTCTACGCAGATAGAGCTCTGGTGTCAACCTTTGTTTTTGTAAGGACCAAGCACGGGGTTTTATTTTTCAGTGACCGCTTGAAGGGACTCGAAAAAGGATTAACAAGTAAATTCAGTCATTCTGACTTACCACCAGTCTTGGATGAATATAGCATGCGTGGCTGATTCAAGTAACTCGGAAACAGCATAAAATGTGTCATGACCATCCACATACCTTGTGATCAAAATTAAGAGCTAGGTCAGTAAGAGACTGAGAATGCGATGATGCACGTATATGCGCATATGGAGATGAGGGGCTGGTGAGGACTGACCACTTGACATGATTCTCTTCCCGAACTTTAGCAAAACTATCGAAGCGATGACCGGCACGTATTTGTTCAAGCAACTTGTCATGAGCTTGTTCGTGAGGCTCATCATGCCGAGCTGAGAATTTAAATATTGATGCATGAGCAGATGCTGGCGGATGAACGATACCAGATATAACAAGTAAGAATCATTTTCTGAGACATACAGTTTGGATGAAAAAGGTTTCTAATTCCAGTTCCGATCCGCTCCATCTTCGCTGAACACCCGCCAAAGCAACCAACCATGTCCATGACCGAGTAAAATCAAACAGAGGGTCAGGTTAAAGTACAAGATGAATGGAGAGGTAAATGATGTATGTAGCAAGAGCTTGTAGTTATGTGGAGTGAAGGGAATCAAGAGAAGATCGCGAGAGACAAGGATGATTTTAAGGAGAGAACGTCTGAGAAAGTGATGGCTGACCATCCATGTCAAATTTTGTCTCTAAACCCTGAAAGAAACTCATCTTGATGTTGTATGCGTTGACAGAAAGGAGACTGTAGTGGGATACTGAGGTATCCTAAAGCAGAACTATGCAACAAAGTCGCACCTCCAAATTAACCCAAGTTGCTCGGTAACAGCATGTTTGAGGATTGTGATCAAGCTGTCATCGAAAGAAACACTATACAGACACTGACGAGGTTGTACCCTGTAGGAGAATCGAATCGAAAGCACCCAAGACTGCACACCACGAGATGGAAAAGAAACTTGTGAGTGATTGCTTGCTTGAGTGACAAGTTAGTTTCCATACATCGAGGTCGCCAAGCTTGACGGCTTGGATAGAGAGGGATCATTCGCATACAACATGATCGATTCCACCAACAAACCTGACAACAACTCGAGACGATCAAATTATGCACTCACTTCCGTATCCTTTATGAAGCAATTTAACAGCCTTTGTTGTGAAAATGGAGCACTAATGAAGTTTTGTGTCAGCCCTACGATCAACTGATTGCAGAACCAGTCAGTGAGTTAGATACCTGTTGTGGTCAGTCGACCAAATAGTGACGAATCTCGAGTGGTCGTCTTATTATGAATGCGACCGAAGCACTGATGAAGTTGGTTATGATGTTGCAAGTATCGACTGAGCTGCGATCAGCAGTCGATCAGTTTTCCGATCGTGTAATCAGAAAATCTAGATGCGGTCCTGAATGACGTCAACAATCAACTTTGTCAACTGGGATCTTGAAAAATCAAGCATTACTCACCTCCCTCACACCCTATGAGGCTATGATAGGTTATGATACTCTAGTTAGTGGAGGCGAGGTGACGCAGAAAAAGAAATGATGCGGTATTGTACTCAGACTTCTGCGACCAACCTTTCAGTTTAAACTTTGCATACGAAAATGTTTGATTCACGAGGGTCCAACTCACAACTTAATACATAACTTGTATTTTTGTAATTCACAAGGATGCACAGCAACCGCGTGGAATCAGTGCACGGGTTTAGCTGGGGACGGTTTGCTACTATATAGCCCTGAGGCTGTGTTGCATTTTTCCCGCCGAAGGCGGGATCGGACTTGGCAGAGGGGAAGCAACTGCGAGAGAACTATCGGAAATAAGAGAATGATGTGGGTGGTTATACGCGGCCTGACAGTCTCCACTGGAGCCGCCCCCTATTCTGTGTACAACATATTGCGAAGAGAAAGTGAGAGGCCTGAAACTAAACCCTACTCTGACATAGGGTGGCGGCGGGAAATAGAAAAAATCCTAAACTATTGGGAGACATAAGGGGTTCTCAAAGTAGGCCCGGTTTGTAAAAACCCAGTTGACCCAGTTGACTTTTTGGCTGTGATCTGTCAACAAATGTCAACTCGATACACAAGGTTACTGCCAAAAAGCAACCGGGTCACACTACAAAGAATATAATGTTTTCCGGGCAGAAAACGCAAATATTGATACACAAAAATATTGAGCGGTGAGGAGGAGGGCAAAAAATACAAAAAAATATGGCTGTTGTTCCTGGTGTTGAGAGCTTCAATCTGAGTATTTTTTTGTATTTTTAGAGTGCATATTGTTGAATGTACTAACAAGAAACCCCATATTCATCAGATATACACCGGTAACAGATGCTGAAGTTCAGTTCCTCAGATTGGAGAGGACAATTTGAATCTAATATATAAAAACGTAGAACAGGCCCGCATGAGTTCGGTTCCATGTTCCGTTCCAATCCCGACCCGTTTGTTATTGGCCTTCTATTTGTTGCTTTTCTTTTCTCTGCTTTTCCATTTTCTTTTAGTCCCAATCTTAGTCGGGTTCCATCGCCGCTTTTTTTAGTCTTGTCAGCTTTTGCCCCGATCTTTTACTCTGTGTGTTGTCTCCTTTTTGTTTTTTTCTGCTATCAGAAATTCCATTGTTCTTTTTCTACTGTTCTTTTAATGTGCATCCTCTCTGCTTTTGCATTTTCTGTGCGTTTTGTTTCTTTTTCTTTTGTTATCCGCTCTACCTTCAATGCCGTATCCTCCACCCTTTTCCTTTTCCTACTGTTATCGCGCTTCTTCCCCCGCTTTCGTTTCTGTCTCTTACCACCTCCTATATTGTTCTCTTTGATTTCCTCTTGCCTTGCTGTCGCATATTCGGATCCCTTTGGTTATCTCTGACTTTTTTTTTCTTACGCTCCTCTTTTGTGCTTTTCAATCTTATCTCATCAATGCTTCTCTACATATAGCTTGCTTTTGCTTTTGTTAATAGCCTCCGCACTCCTTTAGTTCAAACTCTGTCCTTAGCTCTATAAATACCGCCCTTTTTTGCTCCGTCTTCATGATTACTCATCATCCACTGTATAGTCTTAATCGCTCAGCTTTACTGCAATTAACAATTGATTTTGCGTTTGGTGTTAATCTTGATTCAAGAGGAATTCAAGAGGAATTAGCTCTCCAGGCCCCAAATGTAGTCTATTAAAAAATAATAGAGAATGTGGTAACAGTGTTGAATTCAATTGAGGAATTAGATTGTTATTTTGGAGTCCCGGACACCTGTTGCGGGCATGCCCGCATATTCTCTAGTTCTACAAATGCTCATAAAATTTGCAATTCTTGCTCAAAAGACTCGCTTTTAGGCTCATTAGAAAGCCCCAGTCTCTCTCTAAATGTCTTAATAATGATTCAAGGCTTCATTTTCTCTCACAAGGCAGCTATAGTCACTTTGAAATATCTTCTTCAAAGCCACATAGATTCTTTGCAAAGCTGGACACAGCCCCATCACCTCAATGAAAGATCTAGAGACAGAGTTCAGCTTTCTAATGAACCAATAATCGAGTGTTTTCCTTGCCAATTGCAAAATTTATGAGCATTTGTAGATTTCCAATTGTCCTCTCCAATCTGAGGAACCAAATTTCAGCATCTGTTACAGGTGTATATCTGATGAATATGGAGTTTTTGTTAGTACGTTCAACAATATGCACTCTAAAAATACAGAAAAATACTCAGATTGAAGCTCTCAACACCAGGAACAACAGCCATATTTTTTTGTATTTTTTGCCCTCCTCCTCACCGCTCAATATTTTTGTATATCAATATTTGCGTTTTCTGCCCGGAAAACATTATATTTTTTGTAGTGTCAACTGGGTTTTCTTGAAACCGGGCCAACTTTGAGAACCCCTATAGGTGTCAGGAAAATTTATAGTTGTTGGTAACAAGTTATTAACCGATGGGAATGTGGATAAATTCGGGCTTTCAATACATATGTAATTGCTAACGGATTGGATACCTTTTTGCTTACTTCTTCATCTACAGATGATGTCATTTGAGCTGTTGACCATCTCACCGAATTTTACCCATTGTGTTCACAACCGTCCAACTTCTTTTCTCTTTAGTTCCTATCCAGTTTTCGCAGAAGAACATAGTGGAGAAAGAAAGATTTAGACAAGTTTTTTCGCTCAAAAAATCCAAAAAAGAATCGTCCTAAAAGAATTTTTATAGAACATTTCTCAAACTTCTCATTATCTTAATCAATCCCAATGAGTGATGGTGATAGCTTTAATTTCGAACATGCTAGGGTGGTTACCGAAAAGTTGGAAGCCCTCAAAACTGCTTATGAATCAGCAGGTGGCTCAACCAACAAATCCATGGGTTGGGTGCGATCAAATTATGCAGAGATCGTTCCTTATACCGCAAAGAACTGGTATAAACAATGGTCCAGATATGCATCGGACATTATTGAAATGGACAGGGCAAAGAATCGGCCAATATTTACAAACAACAGCCCTGTACCAACTAGACCTGTGTTGTCTGAGGAAGATCCAGTATACGTCTTTGATCTCTCTTCTAATCCGACTTTTCCCAAAGATTTACCGTCCAGCCGTCGATCATCTCCTGCCAGGAGCAATCGAGGCGGTGAACAAGTTCAAATTCTTACACAAGAACAAATTAACAATGCCCAGAAAGCACGTGACCTTCTGGACCGTCAAAATGGCTCTCAACGCCAAAGATCTTTTTCTCCTTTTGAACAAAGAATTCAGTCTGAAAAAAGTCATAAAGAAGTGCATGATGAAGAAGAAGATGAATCAGAATCAAAGAAGAAGAAAATGCAGAAGTCGTGGGACTGGGTTGAAAGAATCGATACTGGTCCAACTGCTACGGAAAACTGTTCCGAAAGTGCTATCCTCTTTGCAAAAGCAGTTTGAGGATATGCTCCAAATTTATCAAAAGCCGTTGAAGGATTCAACGACAGAGTTAAACCAGCTAATTTCCCATCTAATCTTTCAAAAGAACTTCTTCAAGAGAAATATATCAATCTTAGAAGAGTCAAATGGGAATTCATGGCTGAGAAGAAAGGCATGGCAACTAATCTCATCGTGGCCGGAAAAGATAAAGATATTGAATTGCAGAACAAGAAAGCAACTAGTAAGCTGGTTGATTCTCAAGAGTGGTTCTATTATTTCGATATCCTCCAAAAGACATACCAAGAAGCCTTTCCTAGCTGTTATAAATTCTTTCTTAAATATGCTAATTACATCAAAGACGAATTCATGCAAGATGGTATCAGAGCAGATTGGATTTGTGTGGCAAACTACGATGCAGCACTACGGAGCCAATTCGCTATCAGGAGAGATGTATCGTTTGCTGACTGGAATCACGAGAGCCTGGGGACCATCAGAACCAGGAACATGCAGAAAGCATACGACGACAATTTTCAAGGAAGTTCTTCAATGGCTTCTACGAGTGCTCAACCATACACTCAAACATCTCAACGGCCTTCTTCCCAACGTCCGAAACAAAGTTTTCAAAATCAAGGATCTCCGACAAAAGTTCATAATTCGCCGAATTATTACAACTCTAATTTCAAACATCGGGGGATACACAAGGTCGAGGATTCCGAAGGTCTTAAAGTACATGAACAGTTCTGTTTTGCACATAATCTTGGAGAATGCAAACTTAAGAAGAGCTGCCCCCGCATCCATCTTTGTGTCGGTTTGATTCTCATAATTTTTCTTAGAAATTTCTTCAATTTCCCTAGACTTTATCTGACGTATGAGTATGTTTTCTCAGAACGTCAAAAATTGCAGACAAGATCACAAAGGATGTGATCATGTATGAGGGAGAGGAATCTCAAGATTCTAATGCCTGCAATGCTGATGAAGGGTTGGTATTTCTAAAAAAAATTTTGAATAAGGATTGATTAGTCTTTTTTAGTTACTGACAACTGTATTATATTGTCAGAACGACCACCGACGTAAAGGAAGACACCAAAATGAGTTTGCCTGATGAAAATATTTCTCAAAAGTTCCTTCGAGGGTATGTATGGGACGGTGTCAACCAACCGGGATCTTCTCCAGCGATCGAGTCCAGTCTTTATGCTCGACCTTTTCCGGACGCGCCTCCACTTTCTGAGGATACCGACGCTATTTTGGTTCTGAAACAATTTCCACATTTGTTTAAGATCGTAACCCCAATTAACGCAGACAAATTGGAAACTTTGCTGGTCAACCATCCGAATCAGCCTTTTGTGAAGTCGGTCCTCAAAGGTTTACGAATAGGTTTTTGGCCCAGTTCTTCAATTCCGTCATCAGAAATTATAGATGGACCGAACCACATATCTTGTGAAGAACATCAACAGCTGTTAGATGATCAATGTCAAGAAGAGGTCGATAAAGGTAGATATTCGGAAGAGTTTACAATTCTACTTCCAGGAATGAAAGTAATTCCTTTGTTGATGACGTCTAAAAAAGATTCGGTAAAAATGCGTGTATGTTCGAACATGAGCGCAGGACGTCCTTCACCTAATGACTTGATTGATAAAGATAACATTCCAGTTGCATATGATTCATTGAAAACATTTATTCCTTATTTGATTCAGATGAAGAAAGAATTTGGAGAGGTGGTTTT